TATTGGCTCTAGTCGCAATGATTACTGGAGTAAATTCAGCACAGGGCCGGAGCTGCCGGGGAGCACGGGGTGCTGATGCTTTTGATAAATGTAACAGCTGAGGAATAATGACAGGATACAATGACAGCCATATAATCAGCTCGTGAATAATTGATCTATTGTAATGGAGGAGCCTATCAGGACACACTTTGACTTCAGATCATAAATGTGGTCAGTGCTGAGTAGAAAAAAGATGGCTAGAGTCGTGGGAGAATGGAAATGAAGGCCAGGCTCATGTTACATAAAACTTGAGAAGCACCAGAAGCTTTCATCATTGGCTCTTATGAAAGAATGCAAAGTGCTCCCTCTGCTGGACCCTGTTTCCCTGCTAGAGGATCCATAATGTGCGCTTAGGCCTCTCCCTGATCCGATAAAACCCCACTCACTGCCAAGCCCGAGCTCATCCGGCCTGGCTTTCTCAGAATTATTATGTCTAGACTGGGCTCTACCACATTATACGAAAACAGATGAGATACAGCACTCTAATGGAGGTAGCATTACAGCTTCCAGTAATCAAATGCTCTGTGCTGAGTTTATAGACTCCATTAACCTCCCTTCATTTCAAGAATCATACTGTATGCTTGTTAAAAAGCAATCATGTGTCTCCCATCAAATGTCCATTGATCTCAAAAGTCCACAGCAAACTTTCTTAAAGGGATATAGCGGAGCCTGCACTTAATTACTGAGGGTGCACTATTCTAGAGCTTTCAGCAGGTGCAGAGCCCCTCTGAGCTGAAGGCAATATTCTGTCTTAAAGGGAGGCAAATCAAGTTTAACGTATTTTCTTCTCTTGTTTGAAAGGGATGACTCTCAAAAAAAGTCTCATATTCTGCAGACGTGCAGATAAAAGATTCATGCGCACTTAAAAAATTTAAGTGAATGTCCTGAACTTGTAGAGAACGCAGAGCCAATGTCGATGAATTATTCAGGCCTGTGATGTTAGAGGGACTTTGGGTTTTAGGGATGTGTAAAATTGAAATCTGATGGATTCCAAACATCTGTTGGATTTGTTTCATGCAAATAAGTGAATTGTGAACTTTAACGTCTCCAGTAACCTCATCATCAACACATTAGTATCCTTATGAGCAAAGAATAAGCAATAGGGTAAGCACTGCAGAGAACAAAGTCAGGGAGGAACCGAGGGAACTTTAAATTACTTGCTTTCATCCTAAAGACTTTCCAGTAGGCTAAAAATGTGAGCTAATTCTTGAGTCTACCACCAGAGGGAGCTCAAAGACCATTAGAATGGGCACAGATGGCTCTTCAACCAAAGGTGTGCATGTTTACTTTTTAGGTCTATTGAGGTCTTTGTGGGGACCAAATGTCCCCAGGATAATGGAAAACATGAATACTTTGAGGTTTTGCAGACATTTGGCTGGTTTCCACAAGGAAAAAATACATGTTTTTCGAACATTGTAAATGTTTGTTTAAAAAGTAAAATAACTTACATTTTTCCTTTTGGTTTTTGAGGTGAAGGGGGAATTCCACAGATTTGTCTAAATTTCTGCAGAATTGGGTCTTTGAGAGGTAAACAAAGTTATTCTGAGTGTTCTGACCTGGTTAACTGCAGAGAAACTTACCGGCATGCTTATTGTCTTAACAATGGTGGTAACCAGGGGTCATGACGTCTACAACACTAATATAGACATTTTATTTACTACATTAAATTTATTTATTTACTACTATAAATGAACCAGTGAACCTACATGTGTCTTCTGAGTATCTACATGTAATGTCGATGATGGTAAAATAGTGGTAAATGTGAAAACTATACCTTTTCTTTGGGGACTATTTTGCCTACAACACCCTGCATGTGCCACTTTCTACATGTTTTTGGCCAGAATTATCATAAATCAATGTCTTAGACATCACGCAACACATTCATAATCATCTAGTAACTTCCTGTGAGGTATACGTGCATGAAACCCTTCAAACCTCTGGTTCCTTCCACTGCTGTTGTGAACAAACTAATTTTGGATCTGACTTAGTAAATTTCTCTTGAATGCTGCATTTCGTCACTTATGCCACTCTGAATGATGACTGAATTATGCAGAACTTTTGAAAATATCAGTGGAATTCCCCTGTAAGGTTAAAACTGGGTTGGGTTAGGTGTAGTATTATTTAGCTACAGCATCATAAAGGTCAGTGGAAATACTTCTGTGTTAAGTACTGGTACAAACTTGTGCGTGTGTGGTCAAAACTATGAGTGGCACCCAGAGAAAAGAGATTCCAGATAAGATCTTTGGCTAATCTCATTCACTTCTCCTAGACATAGTTAAGTCAGCGTGAGACTTTCTCCTAAAATTCAGATCCTGAAAAACAACTCTTTGAATAATTACGATTAATAATTACAGCTCTCATCTAAATTTAAACTCTTTCACTAGTCTGTCAGTATAGAACAAGACCTCTTTCATCTTCCGTCAACCTCTTCTATTAAAGGGGAACTTCACAGATTTTTCAAAATTTCTACAAAGCTAAATGGTTAAGATGTAAAAAGTCATTCAGAGCGGTTTGGTGTGAAATGCTCCATTCTAGAGAAACTTGCCGAGGCAGAATTTTTCACAGTGGTGGTGATGGGAACCAGATGTCCACCTCTAAAAGCTCCTTCACAGAAAATGAAATATTTACATATATGCTGCCTGATGTCTGACACATTATTATATGACAGTTTTGTGATAATGTTTTGACTTAAAACATATTTTTATCCATTTAATTTAATGCATTCATGGTGGAAGGGCACATGCAGGGTGTCGTCAGGTAAAACAGTCCCCAAAGAAAACTTACCTTTTCAGATTTATGACTATTTTACTATTATCAACATTACTTTTTTAGGGTTTGGTGGGTTTGGATAGTAAATAAAATGTCTATATTTGTGCTGTAATATATTTGTGACCCCTGGTTCCTATGACCACCACTGTAAAGAATCCAGAGTCTGTACGTTTCTCTACAGTAATCTATTTCACATCAAATCTACTCTGAATGACTTCGTTTACATCTCAGTGACTGACTTTTTAAGAGATTTTGAAAAAATGGTGAAGTTCTCCTTAAACATGTTCTACAGTGGTGGTGGTGTTAGGAGAAATAATCGAGAAATCAGTGATCCTTCATTAATACAACACTGAGATCTGCTTTGTCTCTGTTGAGACAAATACTGCCTTCAAGTCCTGTCGGAAACATTGGATTTACGAGATGGATGCACATGAACGCCACCACAGTGTTGTATATGCTAGTGGGAAACTCAGATTTTTCTGTAAGCCCCGAGTTTCAGGGTTGGGGGTTATCAACAAAAAAGCAATGATAGCCGCTGATAAACTGGCTGTATTGGTTATTCATCAGCCACACCCTTAACACTGCAGGCTGAAACCATCCACATATGGAAATACAGATATAAGCACATGTTATGTGATACATCTAACTGCATAAAAACACTACTCCTCTAATAAGCATCCTCTGCTCCTCACTTCGTTGCACTCTTTAATGACAGAAAAACAAATGTAAACTAAAAACATTACTCTACCTTATTTCCAACCAAAACCACTTAAACACAAATCAAGTCGTACTTACGACCTCCAAAGTCTTAAGCAGGAACTTTCGAGGAGACTTGAAGGCAGAAAAAAGGTGATTTTAAGAAAAAAAGCCATTTTTCCTGTGGCTACGATTTCTCACATAACCAATAAAGAAATGAAAACAGTAGGGAAACATACCCATTAAAACACTTTCATTTCATTTTCTATTAAAAATTTCTGCATAGATCAGTCACTGTGATGTAAACAAAGTCCTTCAGAGTTGTTTGATGTTAAGTGGTTCATTTGTAGAGAAACTTACTGACTCAGATTACTTTACAGAGGTGTTGATAGGAGCCAGGGGTCATGATGTCTGCAATACAAATATAGTCATTTTATTTATGATCCAAAACCATCAGTGAACCTACACGTATCTTCTGAGTTTTTATATGTAATGTTGATGATGGTGAAATAGTGTTAACTACAATGGCACTTTGCACCTCTCTGCCACAAACGTTTAAAAATACCTGTTTTAGACCAAAACCCTACCTCAACACTTTCCTAAAACAATGCCTCCGGCATCTAGCAGCATATTCCCCACCATTTCATGTAATAACTATCTGTGAGGGAGCTTTTAGAGGTGGACGTCTGGTTCCTATCACCACTGCTGAGAGCAATTCTGACTCCAAAACAGAGCATTTCACATCAAACCTCTCTGGATGATTCTGTATACATCTTAACCATTCAATTATGCAGAAATGTTGAAAAATCAGTGGACTTTCCCTTTAATGTCTATGTGCATACATTTTTGGGGGTCATATAATAAACATAATAAAGTGCAACTGTAATTTTTTTTAAAATTTGTTTAGACTGGAAATGCAGTGCAGGTTTCCATGGTTCAGTGCAGTCTCAGCCTCCTGAATGTGAATCTCAGCAGGTCATAATGAAATATGATCCGAGTGGAACTCGTTTGGTCTGTTCAGCTCTCAGAGCTTTCACTCCTCTTTGGGGCTGAGCTGTGTGGAAATGAAGGTGAGTAGGAGCATAAAAATGGACTTTAAATGAAGGTTGGCTAAGGTGGGCTTCCTATTCGAATTTTTCCGTTCCACCTTAAATGGTGCAGCAGTTACATTCTGACGCCCGGGGCTCTAGAATGTAACTGCTGCACCATTTAAGGTGGAACGGAGAAATTCGAACAAGAAGCTGGCTAATAAGAAGCTAACTTCAGCTTCTTCTGTAATTAAAGGTTTACTTGTACTAAATCGCTAAATCGTTCTAATAATGCAAAATAAAATAATAATAATAAAAGATAAAACAGAGGTAGCCACAGTTTACCGGGTGATGGCGCAGTTTTACTGACTTCCTCTTTCTGTCAGGTGCTCAAACAGAAATGTGGTTTACTTTTAGCCTTTTAGCCCCACGAGAGTCCAGTCGAGACTAAAAACATGAGGTAATTATATTAATATAAGCTGTTTTATTCGGCTGACCTGTTTGGCCCGAGCTAAAGGTGCTGCTGTACAGCGCGTCTGTCTGTGTGAACTGTGTTAAAGGTGTTAAATGTACCTGTTGTGGAGCTCCTGCCTGTCAGGAGGAGGAGTGTTTACGGAAGTGTTGCTGGGCTTTCACTACATTCAACGCGACTAACTCGAGTTTAAAATGTGTTTACAAGTTGTTTTTGAAGGATTCTTGTAAGGACTCGCGTAAAAAGGTGGCTGCCCCCTGTGCCCACCTTCTGAAGCCCCTTTGAAAAGCCTGTGAAGACCACACAATGCACTTTGCATCGGCGAGTAGTGAGAGGAGAAGTGTGGAGGAGGAAGAGGAGCCTCTGGCTCTGATAGAGCTGCTGGAATGTCCTCTGTGCATGAAGCCCCTGGACGTGACGGCCAAGGTCTTGCCGTGCCAGCACACCTTCTGCAAGCCATGCCTTCTGCGCCTGGAGGCGTCGTCATCACCTCACATGTGCTGCCCGGAATGCCGTGCCCCTCTTTCAGGGAGAATAGAGAACCTGCCCACCAACCTGCTGCTGGCCAGACTCCTGCACAGCCTCCAAAGGGATCGAGTGACCACGCCAAGGGACAGAAGTGGAGTGTACGTGAGCTCCACAACAGCTCAGGAGGGCTGTGTGGTCGAGGATCTTCAACCTGCCCAACAGCAGAAGGGTCAGGGCACCCAGGAGGTGAGTATTGCTGGACCTACCGGGCTGGTTTGGACAGGGATTTTAAATGACCTCCTTCTCAGCTTCTGAGAGCTGGCAAGCTTTACCTTATATGTGGACACAGATGGAATAGTTTTTGTGTTACTGCTTTACTTCTGTAATATATATTATACTGTAAATACTTTATTTGTGTATTCAATGTACTAGATTTAGAACTAATATATATATATATATATATATATATATATATATAATATATATATAGTATATATATATATACACATATGTGTGTGTGTGTGTGTGTGGTCTGTGTGTCTGTGTGTCCCATTGTTATTATTAGAATATCCCATTAATGTCCTTCAGAATGAGTCTATCTTTCGAGTTTGAACATGTCCAGTATTTTGTTCATTCCTCAGTTAAAATAACACATAATCTACATGGAATAAACTTAAATATACAAACTTTAATGCACAACTTCTATTTATAAAATAATATAGAACTTCCATTTATTTAAGATAATATTTAAAATGGAAAAAATAAAACATACACAACACGCGCCATAACAACAAGACAACATGCGCCATAACTTTTGCACAGTTTTTATTTTTTCCAAAAATGTTAAAATTAATAAATAAACAGTAATTGTGCATTAAAATGTGCAGAAGTGTGTTCTTTGTTGAGGATGTATAACTTTTTTTCACTTAGAAAATCAAATACACCTGTAATTTGACCAGCGTCGCCCAAACTTTTGCATACGATTGTACATATCTGGCCGATTCTCATGCTCTGCCTGAGAGAATGCCATCGGCCTATCAGCTAGTCTACCAGCCAGTCTGTCCTTCTGTCTATTTATACAAAGTCTATTAACGATACATACTTTTTAACTTCACTCATTGGCCATATCATATAGGTGCACTTTGTAGGTATACAGTTACTCGCTGTAGCCTGTCTGTTGCTTATCAGTCCTACCTTCGACCCTATCCATCAATGGAAAGGGACCACTATTGGAAAACCACAGACCTGGTATTATTTGGGTGGTTTGCCAGTTTTAGTGTATTAACAGGTTTCACACCAAATATGTTTACCCTTCAGGTATCAAAGGGAGTGTCGCAATCACAGTTGCCATGAAGTGCAATGACAACATTACTCTGAAGTAGTTAAAGTAGTTCAATTGTTAAAGTCATTAGGTGTAATTCATTCATTTCATTTCACTCTAATCTGGCCTGTCATGATAAACCAAAGCCCTGTGATTTCTCTTAACTTGTTTGTCCTGAAGCATAAACTGTGAGAACTGAAAGTGAGAAGAACGGACTGAATTTCTACTGACAAGCTTTGTTTAATCTCAGTCCATGATTTCAGGGCTGTTTGTGTTGTCTTTATTCAGAGGGCTGCTCTTGCTCTGCAAATTTGCTTGTTATATCAGTGTCAGAGCTCCGTTTGTTTGGACCCGGTGTCTCTCGGGCCTTGGCTGCTTGTTAACAAAGCCAGTCCAACACAGTGGGCCTTAGTTCGGCTTAAGTAGGTCAGACGTTTTGGGTTTCTCTGGATGCAAAGGACACGGCAGGAATTAAATGAATTGTAAAAAGTTCTGTCCAAAGTTTGTGTGAGCGCCATTCCTACTATGTTCGTAAGGTATTTATGATTTGGATGTAAATGCTAAAAGTAATCCCTTTGAAAATTACATCAAACAGATGCTTTAATATGTGTCTTTAATAAATATTGCTCATAATATGTGCCAATTGTACGTTCTTATTTCCTGCCAGCCATTCATTACTCTTATCTGTGTTTGTTTTTCCAGGTGTTAGCTAAAGCCTTGTACGACTACCAAGGCAATGGCCCAGGAGAGCTTAGTATGAAATCTGGCGACATCATCAGCCTTCGATGGAGAGTGGACGAGAACTGGTGTTACGGAGAAGCCAAAGGGAGCAGTGGTCTTGTTCCCACCAAAATGGTGCAGGTGTTGAGTGATCAAGTCCAGCCTTTGGCTCTGTGCCGGGCCCTGTATGACTTTGACTTGAACAGGCTGGATCCTGAGGACAGGAAGGAATGCCTGCCCTTCCTAAAGGTCAGTGTTTATTATTTACCAAGGGGAAAACAATGCCTGCTCAGTCTTACTGTTTGAATGTAGTTGCAAAGCACACATCTGCTAATTATGATCGTTTTGTGACAGATGCAGGTATTGATTTAAGGTGATAACACTTTAGACAACCATCATTTTATGTGGTCAAAGATTAAACAGACTCCAATAGTTGTTGTGAAACAGAGCTTTACTGACTGATATGAATGCCAGTTGTTAACTATTCATGATCAAATATGACTGTCAACTCTCAGTTGTCAAATCTCTTAAACCTAACCAGCAGAAACTCACAGAGTCTTGTATTGTAAGCTGATTTTGTTGGCTCTTATGCTTGTTATTTTTCATCAGTTCTCTCTTCATAGTAAGCTTTAGATGTGTTATAACATGTTATCGGCATACTAAATGTAAGGTTTTGAGCATTTTATGTGTTTTTTTTTGTTGTGATAATCATGTTGGCACATTTCGTGTTGCCTGAATTGCTGTGGTAGAAATGAACAGGTGGCGACTGTCAGCTTAGCAGTTCCTGTGAAGACTGGCATACAAGCATGAAACTGCTAACAGCTTACTGCTGGATGGTTTTCCTCATTACAGAAATGTCTGCTTGTTACAATATAAATTAAGCCACTAAATATTGGTGTTTTATCAGAGGCATTTTTTTATTTTCATTGGTACTGACAAATCCACAGGACCTCTATATTGGCCAGCCAATACAGAGTAAAAATACAGTATTAATGTGTAACTCATAAAAATGTAATATAATTCAACATATCGATCTATTTTCAAATAGTGTTTCAGTATTTTAAAACTGTATCACTGATACTCTCTTCAGTCTCTTCTGAGGGTTTTTCATTTGCCATCCTTTGTGGAAACTTCTCACAGTGATCAGAACTTTAGTCAGGGTGCATCCTTTCAGAGTAAAGTGGGTGGAGAGGGGTGGGGTTTATGCTGTGGTCCCATGCATACTCAAATGTCTTTTCTTCTGAACTCACTTAAATTCCAGGGATTGTAATTTTTGGGGCTTATTTTGTCAACGGGCGGCACAGCAGGCTTTGAAAATGTTCCGTTGGAGAACCTTTATTTATCTTAGTCAATCCAGTCTATGTTGCATATACAAACCTCAATTCCAAAAAACTGGGCACAGAATGTGAAATGCTAATAAAAACAGAAAGCACATATTAGTGACCTGTATTTATTTGAAAGCAGTGCAAAAAACATATTTGATTTGATTTACCTCATGATCTTTATTGTTTCTTTATAAATATACACTTATTCTAATTATTTATTTAATGTCTGCAACATGTTCCAAAACAGCTGGGACAGGGGGAGTGTTTACCTCTGTGTTACATCAGCTTACCTTTTAACAACACTTGATAATTGTTTGGGGACTGAAGATACCAGTTGATCGAGATTGAAAAGGGCTATGTTTAGCTGTTTTCCTGTTATACAGTTCGTTAGCTGTGCAACTGCGTGGGGCCTTCATTGTGTTTCATAATGCACCACGTTTTCAATAGGAGATAGATCTGGACTGCAGGCAGGCCAGTCTAATAATTATAATAAGAAGTTCAACTTGTATAGCGCCCCACACTCTCTGATTATGTAGCCATGCTGTTCTAACACATGCCGAATGTGGCTTTGGCCTTTATACAATTCTTTAGCTGTGCAACTGCGTGGGGACTTCATTGTGTTTGATAATGCACCACATATTCAATAGGAGATAGATCTGGACTGCAGGCCAGTCTAATAACTATACTAAGAGGTTCATCTTATATAGCACACCACACTCTCTGATTATGCAGCCATGCCCATCTAACACATACAGAATGTGGCTTGGAATAACGTTGAAATAATCATGGGCCTCCCTGAAATAGACATCTTCTAGAAGGCAGCATATGTTGCTCAAAAATGTATGTATATGTTGCAGCATTAATGGTGCCTTCACAGATGTGCAAGTCACTCTTTCCATGTGCATTAATATGCATATCGTGACAGACCCTACGCTGGTAGCAATCTGGATGGTCTTTTTTCGTCTTTGGCCCGGAGAACACAACATCCATTATTTCTATGAACAATCTAAAAGGTTGACTCATCAGACCACAACACATGTTTCCACTGTGCATCAGTCCAAATAAGCTTGAGTCAAGAGAAGTCAGCCGCATTTCTGGACATTGTTGACATATGGTGTCCACTGTGCATAGTACAGTCTTAACTAAGCAATGAATAGTGCTTATTGACGATGGTTTATTCCCAAGCCCATGCGGCGTTGTCCATAATGGATGCTGTTTTTTAATGCAGTGCCATCTAAGGGACCAAAGGTCATGGGCATTCAGTTGTGGCTTTGGCGTTGCCTTTTACACAAAGAAGTTTTTTTTTATTACCATCAAAAGATTTGAGTCCCTGAATCTTTTGATGGTATTATGCACTGCAGAGAGTTAAAAATCTAAAATCGTTGAATCACTCATTGAAAAATGTTGTTCTTAAACTGTTGGATTATATTCCCTGATGCATTTTTTTGGCAAAGTGGTGAGCCTAGACCATCCTTGCTCATAAAAGACTAGGCCTTTTTGAACATTTTATAATGTTCCTAGCCTTAATTTACTCCTGTCCAAACTTTTTTGAAACATGCTGCAGGCATCAAATTCAAAATGAACGTATACTGACACAAAAACAATGAAGTCGACAGGATAAAACATTACTTATCTAGTGTTTGTACTGATTTCATTTAATACAGGTCAAAGTGGATTTACAGATCCAGACTTCTTCTGTTTTTACTTGCGTTTCACACTCTGTCCCACTTTTTTGGAGGTTAATTCAATAAGAAGTTTAAAGTGTTAAGTGTTCATTTTGTAAGCTACTTTTTGATGCATGTGATTGAATGCACGGGGATTTACAGAAGAGCTGGTTGTACTAATGATTCCAAGCATATTAAATAACCTCACAGAAGGTCTAAAGTGATGGATTATGCTTTTTATACATCAGTAATTTATGTCTGATAAATGACTAAAGGTTCGGGAACAGAATTTACCCTTGGCCTTTAAAAACTGTGTTCCTCTCTTATCAGTCACATACTGCCAGAGACTGTTCTTCAGAGGCTATTATGTAACAGGAGGGACTTGGGCAAGGCTTCCATTAAAGAGCATCCTAGTGAAGTGGGGCTTTTTTGAGAGCAGATGGGTTTGGATTGGAGTTAAGGGAAAGGAATTAAGGGTCCTGAAGGCACAAAAGGGACATGATATCTCCAGCTCAAAGTGATTTCAGTCAAGAAAACGTCTTCTGGGACACCCGTGCATCTCTAGAAGCATGACATGTGGCTCTTTCTCTCTTTTTCCTCTGTCGCACACACCACACATACACGTTCTGCCTCATATTGTCCCTGTCTCTTTTTTGTTTTTGCATCCAGGGAGACCTCATTAGTGTCATTAAGAGAGTGGATGAGAACTGGTGCGAAGGGAGGGTGAGAGACAGAGTTGGAATCTTTCCTTTGCAGTTCACAGAGGTGAGACTAACTTGTGTTTGCATACTTTATTTGACATTGTAAGGAAAAGAGGGGAAAATAAAACAAATTTGAGGAATTGTTCAGCAGCTGTGGTGACTCTGCATGTGTAATTATAGTTTTTTGGGTACAAAACAGTGCGTTTGCTCCTGAATTACAACTTCTCTGTGATATTATTGTTATTTTCTCATCAGTGTACAGGCCCCTGTGTGTTTCCGTCTAACCCTATCTCTGTTCAGACTGTCAGCTTTTGGCTTTTTGACAACATTATCAAAGGAAGCCCAGCATTGCCATGTTGACATCATGATTTAGATGTTCTCAAAAAGAAATGACAATCCAAATGATCTGACACACAGCCAAAAACAACAGAGCAGGCAGCTGTCCAATTACTTAAGGGATACCTATTAAACCGTTGGTTTGGCAAAAAAACAAATTTACAAATGTACAGTTTGCTTTTTTGCAAGTTGTGCACTGAAACTATGGGACTAATTTAGCTAACAAGTAATGGAAGTGTATACCCAACCAATTAGCATCATGCAAACTGCCCTAATCATCACACTTTTGCCTCAAAGTGCTTTGAGTTGCTAAGTAATCTCAAATAGACTTGCTTATGTGGGTTCTGATACTGTATAACATACTGTTATGTATAAAAATGGACAAAGGTATGCTGTATTGTTTGAAACAGCTGTAGCAGCCATCTTAAAGGAGAATTCCACCAGTTGTTCAAAATGTCTGCGTGATTAAATCCTTAAGATGAAAACAAGGTCATTCATAGTAGTTTAAAGTTGTGAAATGCTTCATTCTAGAGATACATACCAGTCAGGTGATGGTGATAGGAACCAGACATCTGAAGCCACTCAAAGCTCCTTTACAGAGTTATTACTAATCTCTGGTGGATTTGGATGGTCAATAAAATGGCTATTTTGGGTTGTAGACATTATAACCACTGGTTCCCAGTACAGTATGTCAGATACTATGCCAGAAACTACGTAACTAAGTCAATATGAAATTACTTCCTATGGTTTATGGCAAGCGATTGATGATTTAAACATGCAGTTTGTACAATGTTAGCCTGGTAGCCAAAAGCTTCCATTAATTGTTAGCTACATTAGCCTCATAGCTTCAGTGCAAAACTAAAGAATCAAACTATAGGCATCAAATATATCATAGGTCATTGGCTACCTTCAAGATAAGGGAAAATTTGTGTACATTTCAGATGCGTCTGAAGCATCACATTTAACAGACTGACATTTTGGTAACACTTTATATTAAGACCACTTACGTAGGGCCTGTAAAGGGGTTGATGTTGTTTGAAGTAACTGACATAAGGGTACTCAAACTAAAGTCACTGACATGCCGTTTATAACACTTATAAAGCATCATTCCCACCTAAGTGAACTTATTAGCTCCCTGTCTGTATTTCTCTTCGAATGCAAAAGTACAGCTTTAATTTCTTTTATATGTACTTGAACAAAAGTAAATGTGTTACTTGTTATATGTTATTTATTTATTCTTTGACAGCCAGTTTTTATTTATGGAGACCTGTGTGGCTCCAGACATGAATAACCTAGTTAGTGGTTTATGTCTGTAGCCACACACGCCTCCTTAAAAAAAATACTTTTATACTCTAACTCAAATAGAAATGCAATACTGTGTGAAAATCTTAGGCATCTAAGCAAAGGAACCTAAGCACTCTTGATTTAATTTAGTAAAGGACTGGTTAAGCCAATGGATGATGACTACAAATAATAGTGGACGTCCACAAGGAGAGATTGGATAAACGAACATTGACATAAATAAAAATCACTACTTTTTGTATTAATATTGTTTTTATGTATTTTAATATTAGTGTATTTCTGAGCAAATAAATGCTTACCACCAGAGCAATAGGTTTTTAAATGTAATTTTCTAAGATGCCTCAGTTCTCAGTACTGTATATAGAACATATAGATATGTGGAGCTCTTAACTAGGCCTCTTACTTATTCCAGTACTTGGGAATGATGCTTCATAACAATGTTATAAATTGTCACTTTAGAGTAAGGCCCTTAAGTTCAATACATTCATTGAATAAATGTAGTAAGTTTATGTATTTCATAAAACATCTCATTATCTTGTGGTTACCAGCATAAGCTGTTCATGAATACTGAAGTATTGCTTCATAAATGCTTTATCCATTTCTAATGCATGTGTTATGAATTCCCTATGAAAGTAGCCTTCAAAAAAAAGTGTTACTATGATTTCTGTACAGTTCACTTCTCTTGGGTTTAAATACCTTCAGATAATGGAAGCCAAATCCGATCACAGCCATATGCAGTATGCTTGAATATAAAGTCAAACACACTGTGGCACTGTCCAATTACTTACGGACTGCCCTGTATCTGCTATTTGTCAGATAAAAGAGGCTGCTTCCCTCTTGGCGAGCTTCAGCGAGCCTGCCGTCTCCGTGCTGGCCAGCCAGCCGTGAAGGCGCAGTAATGCTTTCCTTGCTTTGGTGGCATAACAGCACATCAGTGTAGGGGGAGAGAGAGAGCATCAGTTGTGTGTGTGTAGTGCTGCAGCATTCTCTCTCTCTCTCTCTCTCTCTCTCTCTCTTCTCTTCTCTTTCTCCCGAAGCCCACAGCAGCAGCAGCATCAACAGCAGCAGCAGCAGTGGCTAAGGCTTCCTGTCTCTCAGTCAAGGCTGACCAGAGAGAGGGGGCCAAGCACCGAAAGCGTAACTAATGGCATTGTGCTGCTGTCTTAGTTAAAGTTCACGCTGGACTCCGGCACAGGGAAGGTAGCAGGTAAAGTGGCCCTGGCAGAAGACGCAAGCCTCGACGAAGTCTCTTCCATTGTCTGCTTTTAACGTCTCTCTTTTTCTTTTTTTCTCCCAGCCAAATCCGGCCGCTCTCAAAATCCTGGGGAGAGGTGGTGTGGGATCTCGGCCGCAGGACACGAGACGGAGTAGTGGCCACAGGCGGATCTCCAGGACGACCAGGCCTCCCCAGGTCAGCCTATTGAACAGCCTCAACGAGCGGTCCCCTTATAGTCACATCCAGAGCCAGTACAGTGGGCCTGTAGCTCCACCTGCCCCGGGTAAAGCAGCCCAGCTCGCCCCAGCCTCCAAACCGCGGTCTGGAACTGCGCGCAGAAGCCTGACAAAGGTGAGGGGAGTGTTTGTCTTTGGTGGCGTACACTTGTTTGTCTGTTAGTGCATGGTGGAGTTACAAATAGGTAGTGGTTTGAAGGTGACGGCATCTCAGTTTGACAAGATCTTAACGTAGATTCGACTAAATATCTTCACAGTAGATTCAGAGATTACCAGTAGATGTGAAAGATGTGAAAGATAGTTGAGTCAAGAAGCAAGTAGAGAAGAACTATTGCTTAGGCAGGAATGAAGGCTATTACATTTTAACAATGACTTGCTTATAAGGTTGATGTAAAAGCCAGACTGTCTGAGTGCTAAATTTAGTGAATTAGTGAACAAACTAATTCGTGAAATCTGTGTGTATTTAGTGTCAGTTAATGCATTTTGTATACAAGGAAACTTTCAGGATAAATCCTGATGACATATGAGCTGACATGATTGTCCCCAGGAGGTCAAGTGATTCCAGCAGTGCCTGCATATGTATGTGCTGACTGTGATCACAATAACTCTTTTACTTCTCTAAAATGTTAATTTCAATTCATTCAGTTATCAACAGCACTGCTGGTGAACAGGGTTAAAAGGCCAGTCATCACTTCTTCGTCGTTTGTGTATGACACGTGACACTGTTGTTTATTCTGTTTGAAAAAGCAAAAAGAAGAAATTTCATTATACCTTATAATACTATATGCAGCCCGGTTGTGATCATTTCTGTGCAATTTTGGTGCTAAAAATTCTCCCTCCTCTGTTGTTGCTCCGTAAGCTCATGACTCATATCGTGGTTATGTAAGCCCCCCCCAACCCCCGCCCCCCCACCCCCTTATCTGGTTGAAAGGCTTATTCCTCTCGGCTGAGCAGTGACTCCCTCCCTCTCTCTCACTCGCACTTTCTCTCTCTCTTTCTCTCTCTCTCTCTCTGTCCCTTCTTCTCTGACTCTCTCTGTCCCTCCGCCCTCCCGCGCACGGGATGCACCATTAATAGCTGACCGGGCGATTGCAGGGCACATCATCGCACGCAGAAGACTCGGCCTGCCTCGGACTCTGACCTGCCCGTAGGCCAGTTAACGCAGGCTTCTCCCCCCGCCCCCATTCAGATTGCGCAACACTCTGTAAAAGCAGACACAACTCTCTCTCTTTTGCTGTCACTATATTTCTGTTGCTGCGTCACCAAATTTGGGTCTAGCAAGTCCATTTCATTGTCATAGAAAAAGCTCGAAAAATCTCCAAGGAATTGGGGACCATTTATGTTGGTCCATTTGTCATGATTGCACAATGCAAAGGCCACCTGGCATTTTTAGATGGTGTAAAAACAACAAAAACTGAAAAAAGTTAGAAGGTTTTCATATGTCTGTGATGACATATGTTGGCTTTTTAAAACATTTATAAGCATTTTTTCCTCAGTTTTAGATTTCACAGTTGAAACATTGATTTTATTCTAAGCCCCTTCCATTGTAGATGGACTCACACGTTGCATGTCAGCACAATGGATGTAGGAGGGTGAAGCCTCCTCCAGTGCAAATTTAAATTCAGCCCACCCAAAGAGAACACAACCAGCCACGTTCAACAACGCCTGGTCACGATCAGCACATAACAACGCTGCTGAGGTTTGAACCTGTAGTTCATTTCTGCATTGCTAGACTGTGAAATTACTGTGTGAGTCACTGGGCGATAATTCCTAATCACATAGACTCACGTCAGGTACTATATGTGGCTGGTCTTTGATGCTTCTCGCACCGCTAATGTGCTAGCAACATGCGCCAAATGCTGTTAGCGTTTGCAAGGTGTGTGTGCGCTGAACCGGCCCACAGCGACAGGCTGGATGAGGAGCTGATATGAGGTCAAAGGGCAAACACAATCTGATCTCACAAGTCATCTGAAGTTGACAGCGTGTGAGAAACAGGGCTACCTCTGTCCGTTCACATCAGACTGCCGGCACCATGCGCTCTGTCACTTCTGGTTGTGAAGTCAATAATGCCGCATAATAAGATAAGTGTTGGCTGAAGCTGAGGGACTGTCTAACAAAACACAGTTCGTAGAATTCTACAAGCCTTTCTAGTAAGAAATAATCTTTCATTTTAAAGGGCCACACAATAAAAATAGGCTGACCTTACTATGCAGAGCCAAAAATTCCAAAAATACTTCACTGAAAACAAAATACTTTACTTTACTGCTTTCTTACAGCCTGTAGGACAATTTAAAACATGCATTATCAGGGCATCCACAAGTATCAGCAAATTCAGATTAATGCATTTGAAGTCATTTTTAATGTCATTTTGAGAATTCTTTAATGCTGCTTCGAGCCAATTATCTCACAAACTACTCATGGCCATGTATATCACTATATAACAGCGATTAATGCAGAAATCGTCACTTTAAATAGCCTGAGTAAAACAGCTATGATAATGCTAATGCTTTTCTAGTGTTTCTATGGAAATTTTATGCATGTTGTGGTTTTACAGTGAATTGGTGTAAAGCCTAACAAGTAAAGCCTAACGCTGAATAATATTGGAATAGTCTGTTAGCCTGTTAGCTATCTGCTGAGCTGTTCAGCTTAGACCTAGTTGAACAAAACGTTCTGCTTCATGTACACTTTTACTTTATAAACACACAGTTTGCAACCTCAAACATCTAATTGTACTGAATATACATGCAAATTGTAATTACAAACTTGTATTCATGAGATCACACACATGCTTGTGTGGGTTTCTTCTCTTTCAGTGATCCTAAGAAAAGCAATTTTACTCCCCCTTGTGGAGAATCTTCAGTCTGCCAAACATGGCTGTGTATTTGTCTATAACAATGTTTGTACTCATAGTTTTTCATCCCTTTTTCAAAATGCTGCATCGCTCTTTTCTGATACATTTAGTTGCAACTTCTCGCAAACCTCCGAAAAATTAAATATCACGTTACTGTGAAAATGCCTTTAAGTATGGTGATGTTATATTTTTGACATTTCTCCCACTCTTACTTTTACTTTATAGTCCTGAAAGGAAATACAAGAACTCTTTATCATTCATCTACCCTTGAAAACGATCATTACTTGTCTCGGAGGATGGGAAGTGCTGACTTCGTCTCCAATTACTTCTGCTCCATGGCACCTCTACACACATAGCACTTTTCCTAGAGACTGAAACAGCAGCATTATAAGCATGCTTTTCTGTTAAACCTCGCTAAGCCATTTCTCACTGTGCAGCATTACTGTGGTTACTGAGCTTAAATTACATGTGCAGTGAGAGATAAAAAGGCCCACTTTTTATGAAATGTATCTTGCATGATTTTGTGAGATTAGTGCAAAATTGTGTGAGATTTATCATTATTGTGAAGGTCAAAGTAGAGATAATCACATTGGCTTCTGGTTGCATCATGAGGCAACCTACAGTAACACAACAGTGATAATACTAGCACTATGGTGTGCGGAAATATGAAGACTAGATTTGAGTCACTGAAAAATACCCATGACTCAAACTCTATTCTCAGCTCTCACAATTGTGCCTCCTAAACAGTTTGAAACCACACCTTGGGACAAACCACAGTCTGGGGCTGTTTCTTGGTTGAGTCAGCTCTTTAGTGCTGTATAAGCTTGTCAGAGATGTTTAGTGTTTTCTTATATAACCAAAATGAAAAAAAAAAACAAAAAACTTTTGAATTATGATGAACCATAATCATACATTAGGCCGTGGATGCGTGACAGTAAAATTGAGCTTGTTGCCAGTGAAGTGTTTTATATAAATGAGTGTTGATGGCTTAGATTTGTTATGGTTCACATTAATGATTAAAACTGGTGCTGATGTGTGATAATTGGAGCAGTGGGACTGTTGCACTGTAATCTGTTGTCATACCGGCATGAAACATTGCTGAGCCACTTTGTGGTTTAAATAGACTATATATGGCTTTATGAAACATAATGTGAGAGGACAAATAGAGAAATGCATGTGGAGACTTTGTGAGACACAAAAGTATTAAGCTTATCCAGCATAACTAAGCTTTTTACAATATTAGATATGAAAGTTTTGTCACCAATAACAATTTTAGCTAAAATGATCCTTAAATCCTTAAATTTTCTTTGAGATGTGTATAGTTTTATTTTACCAAAAACAGTTGCAATTAATTTTTACATTATCATACATTTACCAACCTCTCTTAGAATTAAATAGGCTGTTTTTGTTACTGTGCCCTTAAGACTGATATGTGTCAATTATTTCTGTTCTGATTGGCCATGTGTTGCCCCTCATTCAAAAACAGTCCAGGCTGTAACACTCCTTAGACTGAATAAGTGGACATATGCAAATGTGCTGGTTTTCGTGGCATCATAAAAACAGTGATTTCAAAACAGGTCTGTCTTCTGGGTTTAGTTTTCGTACATGAACTGTACAGGCTGAGGAGTGAACAGTACATTTTTTACATATTTTTACATATTTTCTTTTAATAAAGCCAGGAAAAATCATCTTTCTGTTATATGGGCCTTTAGTTAAACTTAAAACAGGTCAATGAAATGAGCTAGACCTCTAGCTTGACCTCTCTAACTAGAATCCCTTGGTGCTGGGCAACATATTTGGTTGTTGTTCAAAACAGCATCATATTCCTGAGTGATTTTACCAGCAAGATTTTGCCAACACCGGTTTTACCAGCTAAGCAGTATGTCTGCTGGGTTCTCCTTTGCAACCATTGGACCTGTGTTTACATCATGCATCATCTCAGTTGTATATATTGTATTTCATTTTTTCATAGGTTGAAAGGAAGATGAATGGTGAAGTTCCCCCAACCATCACTATGGCTCTGATCAACCCTCAGGCCCTCCACCACCACCAGAGAGCAAACAGTCCTCTACTCAGCAGCTCTCTATCAGTGTGTGAGTACCCCCATATATGTCCTTCCTGCTTCAGTTTCTAATTTCAGATTTGGTTTCTAATCATCCCAAACCTAATCATAACACACATGTTCTAACACCTACAGGACTGTGCACCCTTCATCTATTTAATTTCCAGCCATGGACCATTAAGTACAAGTGGCTCATTTTTTCAAGACAATCCTCTTGCATGTGGAAGGGTAAAGTAAATGGAAAATAAGTGAAAAAACAGCAGTTTCCAAAACTAGAGTTAAAAAATAATAAAAGATATACAGAAAATTGAATGTCTAACAACCATGCAAGATCTGGTAGACCACCAAAACTGCACCTATCAAATAAACAGCGGATAATCAAGCTCCACTCTAAAAATCTGTGCTTAGAAAAATTAACTGAGCACCCCAGAGTCCAGTCCTTATTACTGCTGAATGTGTTTGGGATTATTTGAAGCAAAAACTGCAACCAACTTCTAAGACTGAACTTTAGAGGTGTGGTGAAATATCCCTGTAGATTTCTGTGAAAAACTGAAAACAAGTCTCATGAAACGAATGGAAGCTGTAAGCAAAGAGTGGACACAATGGATACTCAACAATTTGATATTATATTTAGTTGTTGAGGCTTCTGTGTACATTTTTGTTAAAAATGTTTCTGTAGTTTTTTCCTAACACTGAAAAATATAAATGATAAATACATTTTTTTAATGGCTGTTTTGAGTAGAAACTAAACAAATGGAGGGTGTTCTCTGACTTTTGCACTATACAGTACATTGGTTAGATCATGTATATAAACTTTGCTGTGTGGTGGGTAGATGATCAGGAATGTGGTTGAGCATGTCTGCTATTGAGTTATTGTTTAAAAGAATACTCCAGCATTCTTAATCTAGTCTCTTCTGGAGCAACTGCCCATTGGCTTCTATTATAAGTGTGTTTTGAGTGAGTGTGTTTTCTAAGTATGAAGAGAAACACTGTTATTATTGTCTGTGGTAATTGTATTCAGACAGATACAGTAGACAAAGAACAGGTTGAAATCACTGAAATATGCCTTTAAAATTAGTTTTTTCTCTTATTTGCTCTACTTTTTCACTCATTTTAGCTCTAAGCAGATATTTAAATGAGGTGGTTCTCGGGGGGTCACACGCCTCATTCGACGGAAATCTCTTATCTGCAAATCTGTGATGAAAACTTTTGTCATTTTGGCTTTTCTTGTGGTTGAACAACAAAGGAGTATGATGCAGATACCTCTTTTTTTCTAGGTGTGCTGCGCTGTACTCGTACAGTCCCCATCGCCCCGAGGAGCTGGAACTGAGAAAGGGCGAGATGGTGGGAGTTTATGGGAAGTTCAAGGAGGGCTGGTTACGTGGTCTCTCACTCCGAACTGGCAAAGTGGGCATTCTGCCCGCTAACTACGTCACTCCTGTGCTCAGGTAAGAGAATATTAGTTCACCCATGTACTGTAGATATGGTTGTTTTTTGCGAAACGTCATACTTCTCACTTGGAAACGTCCAATCAGCAGCCACCAGGTAAAAAAGCATTGTTCACATCCAGTCTTGCAGTCGGACGTGCATCAACCACTTTTAATCTAATCTCTTGGTGTGGCCTGTTTAAGCTCTTTGACCTATTAAGGAATGTGCACCTATTGTGCTGTGTTGACTTGTTTCTTGCAGAACGTCTGCAAGGTTTCTCGAGCAGCCAAAGCCTGCTGTGCCTGTTGCAAGCACTGCTGTGTCTACAAAGAGATACACACCCCAGAAGCCCCAGGCTGTGGTGCTGGCCCTGGATAAAGTGAAGACTGATGGGACTTCTGCTGCCCCAGTAATTGCCATGCCGCCTCAGCCAGCCGTGTCATCTGGCGGTGGAGCGAGAGCTCCTCAGGCAGGAGGCAAGCCAGGCTGGGACACGGTCAGACGGGCCTTCCAGCCCTCACACAGAGGTGAGGACCACAGAGCAGCAACATGCAGCATCTGTTTGGGTCGGTGGAGGACAACTTAGAATTAGCAAATATGGCTGGGCAGAAATATCATGATACTTGAAGTCATTTTCACAGTACATGGTACATATTACTCTACTTCAGTTTTCAGAGGTTAGATAAGTTGGAATGGATGGCTTACTTTGGATGAGTGGAGCCAACCTGCTGTTGCCTGAATAGATGGATTTATGTAAATGGTTTGGTTTTTCATGACATCACAAAAACAATAAATTCAAAATGTTATGAAACTACATTCTATATCAAACTGTTATTTCAACTGGCAAAAAATGGTTTTTACATTATATGGGCCCTTTAAAAACTTTTTATACAGTTACTTTTTAAATTATGTGTCACATACAGTGCAGCACTACATCCAATTAAGCAGGACCAGTCATGCTCTCTTGGACTCTGGCCATTGTCAGGAGTCAAACTCACAGTCGGCTAATGAAATAAGACGAAACATTAGATGGCTACACCACTTGTCACATTGCCCACATCTATAATACTGATGATGATGATGATGATAATAATAATAATAATAATAATAATAATAATAAAGATAACTAAGACATTTATACGACACCTTTCACCAAAGTTCTGTTAACTCTACAGTTCCCAAAAATCTGCATGGAAGATGTTTCATACATACACAAATCAATGTTGTTATCATAATGTTACTTTACTTACTTACTTTACTTTAGAAATGTGTTTATGTGTCTGAAATGTGTTTATTCTTTGTTTTTTTTTATTATTATTATTTTTTAGGGTCACCCCACCGTAACAGCTACCATTCCCAAAATCCAACCCCAAGCTTTCAACACCCACCTCAGGATCTGGGACAGATCTATGGTTTTGGCCGCTCCCCTGTTCTCCCCAGGAAAAGAAATGGCTTGTTTACAAATCCCATCAGGCCACAATATTGGACTAATGAAGGAATGACACCCTCTGGTGGTGGCTACCATACAATGGATGCCAAATACTCTTTTCCAAAAGAAGCTTTCACGCTTCCTCAGTCCATTCTGGTAAAGCCAGATTCACATAGACACAACACAGAAAAGGTAAACAGAACTATATTTAGCGACATTTTATGTATGCTTTACTGTTTACAGCACATTGACATATATGTGATGCTAGACATGCATTCAGTGTGAAGTTTTTAGAGCAACACTTCAAAAATCAATTTTGCTAACTTTGCTAAAGGTAGTTAATCAGCCAAAACATGTTTAGTGTCTTTAATTTTGCACTGGAGCTGCTTGGCTAACGTAGCTAACAATTAATGGAAAGTTATACCCACCCGTTAGCATCATGCAAGCGCATGCCTAAATCATCACACCATTTTGAGCTGTTGATTAATGTTAAACAGACTTGTTGATGTGGTTTCTGACACTGTGTTACGTACTGTTATCTGTATGAATGGATACTTAAAAAAAAGTAATATCAGCTACCTTGTCCATTAGTACAGATAACAGTATATTAGACAGTGTCAGAAACCACATATGCCTGTTTGTCTATTGGAGATTACCTATCATCTCAATGTGGTTGAAGCTTCCATTACTTCTTTACTACATTAGACTCGTAGCTCCAGTGCTACGAGTTTAATGTAACTTCAAACTTCAGACATCAAACTTGGCTGATCATCAACATTTGTAGTAAATTGGTGGTGATATTTGTGTAGCATTGATTTTTAGCCAAACTATTATGTTAAATCAATTAGTCAAATCAGTCTAGAGGAAACGTCTCTGATTCATCTGTATCTGATCATGGGTAATTTATTCTTTAGCCTGTGAAGTCAGTGCGGTTCTTGACTGAAGACGTTCCCCAGACCACAACGAGGATGAGCTCACTATCGTCTGGAGCACAGACCATCGGGAACTCTCAGAGCGGCTCCACAGCTCTAGAGCACTGGAACCCATCAGCCATCTTGGGTCGGGACGGAAGTACCTCAGTCCTTAAAGACACAAAGACGTTTCTGCAGAGAAAAGGTCCTGCTCAGAATCACGCGTCTGTCGAGGGTCTCCCCTTAAGCATGAAACCAGCAATTATCAACATGGCTTCCAGTCCCACCAGGTATGTGCTGCCGCTCAGTTCAGTCTTCAAGGATAATAGGGAAATTTTATTTTTCAGAATGTTACCATCATTATGTTATTCAGATTGCCTATGACGGATGAAGAAAATAGGCAGATTTAAGTTAAAATCTTGATGGGAAGTCATTGGAGGGTTGGGGGAGGGGGGGGGGAGTAAAATATGGCTAAAATGTAACATCATAATACTTTTTAGACATCATAGGCTTTTTTAATGACAAATGTCATAGCATTTTGTTTTTCTGAGGTTTGATGAACTGGAACAGACAAAAAAATAACCAGTAGTACAACATTTAAAAATACTATCAAAAACTGATTACAGTGATTTTTGTTTAACATTTTACATCCAATTAAACAGGCCGAATCACATACAGTTATGTGTAAAAGCTTGAACACCCTGGCCTAAAGACACGTTTTGTTGATTTTCTAAGTGAAAATAAGTTAACACATAATCTACAGAGTGAAACTTAAATGTCATTTTCCTGCGACTGTTAATGCACAGTTTTTATTCAGTATAACATTTTGGGAAAAAAAAACATCAAATGTGTTAGAACCTTTGCACAGGCCACGTTTTTTTTTCTCAAAATATCTATATATAGCACCTAGATATAGCTTCTTTCATAAATTAAAGTGGAGCTCAAAGTGCTTACTAAGAAGGATCACAAAGAAAAGCCAACATACAAATGAAAAACAGAAAGTAGAGTATATTAAAACATTAAAACAAAAAAAGGAATGAAAAGTAAAGGAAAATAAAAATCTAATAATAATAAAGGAACAGTGAAATACGTATAAAAGATAAAGTAATCCCAATATGAAATAGAGAAAAACATTTAAAATCATATAATCAAAATAAAGTAAGAATTTACACAATTAATTGCTCATAAAAATGTCAGATGGTACAATAAATAAAACTTGAGAAATGCTAAAGGTAAAAGATACATTTTAAACTGTTTTTAAAACTGCTAACTGGTGATGTTTGTTGTATGTCTTATTGGAGGCAGTTCCACAGTTTAGGAGCATATGCACTAAAGGCAGCCTCACCACATCTTTTGTGTTTTGCTCTTAGAACAGAAAGTGATCCTTGCTGATAACAGTAAATATGCCCTAGGAAACAGTCCACATGCAAGAAATACATTTTTCAATCATTTCTCAGCCTCCCAAATGGATTATTTGAATTTGTATTGCCATACATTTAAACAATGACCTAAAACTAGAGCTGGGCAATATGACAGCATTTATTGTTACAGTGCTAAATTACATCGTGGTGTGTCACAATATGCTTTTCTGAGCATAGCATAGATATCATCAGTACTTAATATATAAACACTTTACCAATTGCATGTTTAATTACAAAGAGAAATAAATGTATGGTTTTGACTAGTATTTTTAAAATGAGGGCTTACTGTGTCTGTTCTAACTCATCAGATGTGAGAAAAAAAAATGTGACATATCATGTATTGTAAAAAACTTTTTATCATAACTTTTTGTCATACCGCCCTCCGTTACCTAAACATGATCTTTTTTCCATTTCAAGTAAATTGAAAATCCTTTCCAACTGTGCATTTTGTATGGTGTGTAATGGTGATGTCCATTCTTTCAGGCACAGGGTGGTGATGGGATACAACGCACAGACTGACGCAGAGCTGAACCTTCTAGAAGGAGAGCTGGTCCTGGTCCAAAAGCCTCGACCGGACGGAAGGGTCCTGGTGACCCAAGAGATCACTGGACGGACGGGCCTTTTCCACAGCAGTATTCTGGACATATTGGACAAAGTCGTCTGAGTGCCACTGTTATTGTACTCGTGTGTGTTCGTTTTCCACTATTGAGCAGTGTTGCTTTTGGAATCACGTGGAGTGAGACTGTTGCATAAAAGAACTTAACAAGAAAGCAATATACTCTTATGTGTTTCAGTGCACAGCATGCCTCATCTCAGTCAACAGACACAAACAAACCCCAGATCCTGCTCAGATGTGTTCCTGTGTGATTGATCACTTATGACAGACACTAGTGCCTTTGCTTGGGGTTTTTGATGGTGAAATGCACTTTGGGATAAAGATTGTTAGGATGAAATCTGCTTGTATTTTTGACACTTGAAAAAATAAACTGTTGATATGGACTACGGATTGTCTCAGAGAGCACAAGATCCTATTGTTTGAATGCAGTAACCGTGCGGGGTAGTTTTGTCATTACACCACCGTGAAACCTGTTTGCAGTTTACCTCTGTAACTGGCAGGAAATGACTCTGTCCTCTACCCCCTGTAATTTAACCAAATCCTTACTATTTGGTCACTTTATTTTTGAAAACCAGTAATACAAAAAATAAATTATTAATTATAATGTCGCTGTGTTTTATTTTCTGTCCTCTTTTATAGGTTTGATAATCCTGGAGTGCATAGGGAACAATATAATAATATTACAGTTGTGTGCAAATGATGTTGTTTTTGTAAGTAAAAATGAATAACACATCCTCTACAGAGAACAAGCTTGAATATGGCATTTTCTCCTGCCAAGAGAAAAGCATAAGTTTAACATATTAGGGAAAAAAAAACAAACTATAAAATGTGCCATAACTTTTGCTTTTATTGTTTGTTTTTTTCGGTATGCTAAATTCAGCAAATAAACAGCTGAGTGCCTTTACATGCACTTAATATTTCAATCATTGTTGGACTGCGGCAGTTATCTGATTATTTAAGTGGCCATGTAAACAGTGTGCTCTGATTTCTTAGATCAGATTAAGGCCTACAAATGTGATAGAGAGCTGGATTTTAGCTCAGTAATCTGGTTTTTCAGCACATGTATACCCTAACTCTGATTTCTTTCAGTAATAAAGTACCCACAATAGCATCAAGTGCAGCTAAACCTGTGAGGGTGGTTTTCTCCTCCAGTGAGTGCAGATTTGTATGGAAGCCCATTTCCACCACTGGAAGAAATAACATGGCCATATATAGTCATACTAATGAGAAAGTCTTCCATAATTATGGCTTAGCATCTCATGATTATCATAATAATGAGAAATCTTCTCATCATCATGACTTAATATCTCATCATTTTGACTTACTTTCTCATATTTATGAGAAAACTTTTATCACTATTATGAGAAAAATTCTCATTATTATGATATATCAAGTCATCATTTTGAGATAGAATCTCAGTATTATGAGATAACACGTCATAATAATGAGATGCTATATCCCAGTTATGAGATACCAAGCCATAATAATAAGATAATTCGTATTATGAGAATGTAAGTCATAATTATGACGTAGTCAGTGATTATTATGAGATACTAAGTCATACTTTTGAGATAGTAAGTCGTAATTGTGCGATCAAATCTCATAATTATGATGTACTAAGTGATAATTATGGAAACCGTTCTCATTATTAAGATGGCTTTATATTTTTTTCCAGTGGCCTCTATAGATTCGCATCCACACGGCCGGAATGATGTTGAGAAATACGCTTATTTATTCATGCCATGTCTCCACATACCTGCACACTGCGCAGCCTCTGTTTATCCCAACCAGACGGTGGCAGTTTGGGGATGGGCATCTGAGCATGGACACTTAACAACGGATGACCTCAGACATATTGTTTACCCTTCAGGAATCCGGACGTTTTCGTCGTCTGTAGACAGACAACATATTAAAGAGTCGAAAATGCCGGTAAGAAACAAAATCGCCTGGTTTTAATCATCTTTACCTTCTCACCGAGCTGCGTTTGCCAAATAGCTGGGCTAGCCTGCTAGCAACATAGCCAGTCCGTTTCGGGTGAAAAACTGGCAAATTAGGTTTAGCGTAGCTATGAAGTTGTGTATTATTGCTTTTAACACCTTTTCTGGTGGTCGGTTTAAACGTCAACACGTCACATTAGTGAAATTGTGGTGGGTAAGGGCGGCTAGCGGCTTCGTTTAGCCGTTAGCTTCCCATTCGCCAGCTTCTTGTTCGAATCTTCCCGTTCCACCTTAAATGATGGCAGCAGTAGCGTCCTGGCCTCAGACTCCAGAATGGAACCGCTGCACCGTTTAAGGTGGAACGGGACAATTCGAACAAGACTCTTTAGCTTGCTAGCGGTTGAGCTAACTTCACCTGAAATAGCGGTCTACATAGCCGGTGCAATCCTAAAGCAGCACTCAGAGGTAACCTACACATCTAATCTGCTATAAACACGAAACAGCAGAGTTAAGTTAATACATTTTTTGTCTTTTGGTTTGCTTTGTTACTGCCAAGCTCAACGACGCTAAGGTGTCGAGCTAATAACTAACTGTCGTGTCCGCTAATATTGCTTAGCAACCGTGTGGATGCTTGTAAGGCCGTGAGTGTAAACACGAAGCTCCTTTAATCCACGAATTGTGCATTAGCTAAATAATACAAATGAGCACAGCGGGAAGTTAGAAATGACCATTATTAGTGATGTCACCCACGTATTAATTCAATTTGATTGATTAATTTTGTTGCTGTCACTGTTCCGTAGCCCTGTGTGTGTAGTTCCTGTTAAAGGGCCCATATCCTGTACACTTAAAGATGGTTCTCAAAGGATTCTTTAGTAAAGGCAGTGGATCTGTTTGGAGCCATGAGTTCTACACAGAACCATTTGATTGCTTAAACGGTTATTTGGCGAAATGGATATTCGATTTGCTAGACAATGTGTTGTATATGATTCTATATAGACTTAAAAGGTTCTACTGTATATAGGCCCAAAAAGGGTTCTGCTGTTGTCACAGGCTTGACATCGTGACACAAGCAGAACGCCTTTAAAAATCTCTCAATATCTTTTAGAAATTGACCTTGTTAATTCGTAGCCATATTAAGCACAATTCCTCATAGCATTTAAAAGGCGAAATTCTTCTTTTACTGGAATCTTTGAAATTTAGTGATTTTTCCTGCCTCTGAACACCTTCTGATGTTTAATCATTTGACTGTGCACCACAGGCGGGGGGAAAAGTGATATTAACCCCTAATGTTAGCGGGTTGTGCCCCTCCTAGCACCTCCCCCTGCTGTACTTCCTTTACTAGCAGGATTTCACCTCCCTCCTCCAGTGCAGGTGCCAGATGTATTGAGAAGGCGAGTAGCCCTCCACAATTGACTATAGATTGGCATCCAGGTATCTGGGTCTGGACTGTATGTTCATTTTGGAACACCCACTTTTCTGAATACAATCAAATCCTAATGGATACAATCATGTGCCACCCATAATTATTTCCTGCCCGAATGTCCTGTTTCTTGTGCTCTCATTTTTGATTTATGTTGACTTAAACAGGCTGTTGTGAATGAGCCCTGTTCTGATTGGCTGCCCTACATTGGCCTTATTCATAAAAACAGAGAAAAAAATGTGCTGTTTTTTGTGACATCACATAAACAGTAAACTTGAAAAGGGCAGTTTTTGCAATTCAGTTTCCATATGTGTATTGTACTATCTGGAGAGTGAATGGTATGTTTTAAAGCTTTAATAATGTTTGCATATTACATCAAACTCTTTTATTTCAAAAAAAGCATGGGGAATAAATTTTACATGATGTGGACTCTTTAGGTTTAATGCATTCTTTGTAACATGACAATTTATTGGTTCTTTTATGTACCACTTGAATTTTCTTCATAATCATTTCACATGATAGTAAACACGATGATGCTGCTTTCTAACTGATAACTACATTTTAACTGTCCCTGATGTCTTTTCTGCAGAGCAACAAGCTTGATAAACCAGAAAAGGCAGAGGTCAGTGATAACGTCAAGGTGGTGGTGCGATGTCGACCCCTCAACCAGAAAGAGAAAATGATGGGACACAAACAGTCTGTCACTGTGGACGAAATGCGAGGAACCATCACTGTGAACAAGCTTGAGACGCCCAACGAGCCACCAAAGACCTTCACGTTCGACACAGTGTTTGGTCCTGACAGCAAACAGCTGGATGTCTACAATCTAACAGCCCGGCCAATTATTGATTCTGTATTAGAGGGATACAATGGTAAGGAATATCTCTGGACAGTTGCAGTCCAGAGCCTCATTTCCCTTTCCTTTTCGTTTCCACAGACACACACACACACACACACATACATACATACATTTTATGTATATATATATATATATATATATATATATATATATATATATATATATATATATATATATATATATATATATGGCACTTTCAAAAATAATGAGCATAGAACAAAAAGGCAAAGCAGAGCGGTGCAACACTACACTTGCTGTGACAAGGCATTTTATGTGTAAGTGTCAGTGTAAGAGTTTAATTTTATGACTGATATAGACTTTCTGGTCTGTTATTTTGTAGGAGTGGCTGTTGCTTTGTGAATATATGGATATCCAAACTTGTCTAATTTTTTTGTGTAGCCTACTTTAGGAATAAGAATAAATAAATAAATTATGTATTGTAAATTGTAAGTGAGTTTTGGACAGAGTGTGCAGCCTGGAACTGCAATGAATGCAGCAATGCACGTAGCTTATTTCACAAACTGCATGTATGTGAAGTGAAATATCTGAAACCAATCTAAGCGCACCCTGTGGTTTACTTTAACCAGCCAGCAGATAGCTCAGATAATTAACCGGCTATGAAGCTCCATCAATAACATTGAGACAAAGGCTTGAAATTAAATTATTTATTGAAGAATTTACTAAATAACTTCAAAACAAAGTAAATAATATTTGACACATATGTCTTCAAATGTCCTCGTTTATGTGGAGCTGTTGTAAGTAGTAGTAAATCCAGTGTGGAGGAATGAAAGTATACCTTAGTCAGCTTGGTGTAAATGTTATATACTGATTCCTGTGAAGGCACTAATGAAAATGAACATTATTGTAATGATAGAAATCAAAGAAAACAAAGACTTCATAAAAGGAAAAAAGCATTATATTACTAAAGATATGTTGTGCTCAGCAGAAAGCAGAAATACATTTGATTCTGATTCATATCTTTAAAAAACGTAAAAAAAATCAGTGCAAGTCTTTGGGGCACACTTACTTCCGCAGTATATGGGCCGCAGGAGCGGAGGCTTCAGCAGTGCACTCTTTGTCAGCGCTCTGTATGGTTGTTACTGAGCTAAACATCTTAAAATGTGGGTCATTCTACACTGCACTTGATATTTACTTACAGTTTTATACTGCAGTTGAATTATATGACAAAAATGCTACCATTGCAAATAACATGTGTTGTATTTCTTTCCAGGAACCATATTTGCCTATGGTCAAACAGGCACTGGGAAGACCTTCACCATGGAGGGAGTGAGGGCGGTACCTGAGCTCCGAGGCATCATACCAAATTCTTTTGCTCACATCTTTGGCCACATCGCTAAAGCAGAGGGAGACACTAGGTGAGCACACAGTCTCTTAATTGTAGGGTGTGAAGGACAGGCCTTCTCTTGTTTGTTCTACCATTCATGTCTAAAGTGAATGCAGTATGTGTATTAGACAACATGTGCTCAACTTAAAGCCCACAGTGGTGGTGCCATTCACGTATTTGTTGAATCCAATGAAAAAATATTCATTTGAATGCAGAGAACGTTCATTCAAATGTTTAAAGCCTCTGCTGCTGCTGTGTTTCAGGCCAAATAGTTACTAATATTGTCACAAAACATGACTACCCAATGGAGGGAAGAGCATGCCATAGCTGACCATAAACAAACAAAACAATGAACTGTTTTGGCTTTAGTGCCAACTGTATGGGGTTTTTATGAACTATGGGGTTGTTGAAAACGTCCGTTAGGTTTTAGCGGCTCAGTCGTTTTGAATAAGGCGATGTGTTTACTTTATAAGCTGAATAACACTAATGAGCATAAATACGATCTCAAGTGAGGTAACTGAACTCCAGATAACATTTTAGACAGGCCAACGCTCTGAATGTGGACGCTTCTTAGTGTAGTAAATACACACATTTATATACACACACACAATCGCCTGGTAATTATAAGGTAGTCACCCTTGCTAATTGCAGACTTTTACTTTCACTGCAATCAGTGTCTTTGTGCTTTCATCGCAGCCACTGTCACTGACATGGGGAGTTTATGGTGAAGACATTCTGAAAGATACATCAGAATAGGTCTGTTTACCTTTTCTAATGACCGTCTCAGGAGTCACGAGCCCCAAGCTGATAATCACTGGTTTAACCACAATGTGCTTGCTAATTCATGCTCAGCGCCCCCTTGTTGGTTTAGCAGACATGATTTTTTTTCTTAGAAATCTGGCGTTTACTGCAGTTATGTATCTCCGTAGTTATTTTCTTTGCAAAATAATGTTTTTAAAATTGTCTGCAGTAAAATATTTGACAAACAAGGGGAAATTTTGAATTTGTTTTCTGATCCCGTCCAGCGGTTGTAGCCTTCATGTGCCCAGCTTAATAGCATAAGGGGGGAACTTAACTAATGGGTGGAACTGGCCACAACTAAACTAGGGAGAAAAGAGTATTATAGTTCCTAAAGGTTATTTATGGACACAGTTATAGCACACAAAACGTAACGGTTTGTCACCTTCATATCAGATATTGCTGATATGTGCAGTACTAGCTCTAAAATGATGTTCTTAAAAGGTCACAAATTCATCATTTTTTCTTTTCACATCCTTTCTTCTTTTCCCTCCACTCAAAATAAACCTGGGTGTGCCCCTTACCAACACAGGAAACAGAGATATGCAGTTTTAACACAGAATATGGCCTTTTTCATTTCAGGTTTTTGGTTAGAGTTTCTTACTTGGAAATCTACAATGAGGAAGTGAGGGACTTGTTGGGGAAAGACCAGATGCAGAGGCTGGAGGTGAGAAACAGACAGATTTTGCAATATAGTTTTTGACCATGCAGATTCAGTTTGTTTAAGCTTAAGCATTTCTTCAGCAATCATCCTACCCTATATTTTCAGCTTGTCATCAGATAAAGGGACTGCTTCCAAGAAATGATCAAGTGATTATTAACTAATATCTGTGGTAACCATTTACCAAAAATAGCTAGATGAACTGATAAAATACTTGGGGAGTCAGCTGTTTCTTGCAGGCTTTTGACTTATCTACTTCTTACATCCTCTTCTTATCCTTATATGTTTATGTCATGTATTTGATTCTTATACTTTAACCATTGCATGTGTTTTATACATTTTTAAAAATAGGTGAAAGAGAGGCCAGACGTGGGAGTCTACATCAAAGATCTTTCTGGCTATGTTGTGAACAATGCAGATGACATGGATAGAATTATGACTCTTGGCCACAAAAACCGTAAGCTTATATTAGCATTTGTATGAGCTGAAGAGTTTATCTTTCTAATCATTCTTGTTATAAATACTGTTTGAATCTAGATGTTAGATAAGAATTTTTGAAGAAGGTGTCGTATTATTTGTCTCAGGGAAATGAAATATTTTCAAACATTGGATCCAAGTGTTGGATTGATGTTCCCTTTAAATGTAATTATTTAGATATGCAGCAAATTTTCATATGCTATAGAAATCACTACATAACAACATGTATTTTACTGAGCATGCATATAATGAAATTAGTTGAACTTGACCATCTTAATGATGATTTTCCATTACTAAAACTGAATTTCTAAAACTGATCTTTTTTTCTAAATAGTCTTTCTGGGATACCCAGAAGAGATATTCTGGGATTCAAAACCAAAAAAATCACATAAATAAGTCTGGAAATATACATGGGCATGTCTGTAACATTGTTTGCGTAGAAGAAGAAATTTCAGTGTAAATATCGGTGTAATTCAATAATTAAGAGTCAGTGGTTGTGATGCAAACAGTCATTCAGAGTGGTTTGATGTGAAATGATTAATTGTAGAAAAACTGACTTGGATTTCTTTACAGTTGTGATGATAGGAACCAGAGGTTACACTGTCTACAATGCAGATATTGCTTATATTTTTATATCTTTAGTATCCATAACAACCACTGAACCTATACACGTGTTTTGATTTTTTATAATCTAATGTAAATATTTATTTGGGCACTATTTCATCTTACATCAACCTGCATGTACCTGTCCACTATGAATGCATTTTAAAATATGTTTTATGCCCAAAGCTTATCTCAAAATTATAGTAGAACAATGTCTCAGGCTTCAGGCTTTTATAACCATTTCATTTAGTAACCGTCTTTGAGGAAGCTTTTAGAGACATTAAAAGTGTTGGATGTCTGGTTCCTATCCCCACCATTATGAACAGTTCTGACTTGGCAAATTTCTCTAGAATGACTATTTACATCTTAACCATTTAATTACACAAAAGATGTGATAAACCATATGGTATAGAACATGCAGGTTTTCAGCTGTCAGCTTTTAATGACTTGGCAAAATTTCATCTGGACATGCCCGGTTCTTCTTTTGATTGCAGGTTCTGTAGGTGCGACCAATATGAATGAGCACAGCTCCCGTTCTCATGCCATATTCACCATCACTATCGAGTGCAGTGAGAAGGGCGTTGATGGAAACCAGCACGTGCGCATGGGCAAACTGCACCTGGTGGATCTCGCGGTGAGTAGTCCAAGGCCTGGAGCAGAGCACTAATAATGGTGATGTTTTTGTTTTTGTTTCAGTTGAACTGAAGTGAGATGATGTATTTTTGCTGCTGCTCAGGGATCTGAGAGGCAGGGGAAGACGGGTGCCACTGGACAACGTCTTAAAGAGGCCACAAAGATCAACCTGTCCCTGTCCACCCTGGGAAATGTCATCTCGGCTTTAGTGGATGGGAAGAGCACACACGTGCCCTACAGGAACTCCAAACTCACCCGCCTGCTGCAAGACTCTCTGGGAGGAAACTCTAAAACCATGATGGTACAGACAAGCAAAGAACTCAGACTTTCAGTGGTTTGGCTTGCTGACAGTGACACATCTAATTAATCTAGCTTATAGGCACAAAATCTTTTATGGTTCCTTTTTTTCAAGCATCTCTGCTGCTTTTCATTTTGATCACTTTGCCACAAAATACATGGCATTACTTATTAAACAGGAGTGTGCTATTGTGTGGAGTCCTGGCTATGTTATTTTAGTTATTGCTTCTCTTTCAGTGTGCGAACATTGGGCCCGCCGACTACAACTATGATGAGACCATTAGCACCTTGCGCTATGCTAACCGTGCAAAGAACATCAAGAATAAGGCCAGAATCAACGAAGACCCCAAAGATGCACTATTACGCCAGTTTCAGAAGGAAATTGAAGAGCTCAAGAGAAAGCTGGAAGAAGGTACATTAAAGTTACATACAGTACTGTGCAAACACCTTGAGAGGTGGTCTCAGTTCGGTTTGTTTTTGGGGCCGTTTAGAGGGGTCTGAGTATGTTTGGCCTGTTCACATATGCAAAAGAAACCATGACTCGGTGGTCTCAGTCCACTTCAGATGCTGAAACGGTCCAAGTGTGAAAATGCCCTAAGAAATATTTGCATATTGAATAGGAATATGTGTATGCTCATTATGAGCGTTTGCAAACATACAGTTTATTGAACATTTTATTGGACAAAAATCAACATCACAAGTAACATTTGGGGCAAAGAATGGAGTAAATGATAAATCATGATACTTATAGGCATTTTCATGATGCACAATACATATTATATTTACTTTTCTTGAAGTTGGGAGGGTTAGAACAGAAAAAAATGCTCCATTAGTGCCATATTTTAAAAATACTATAATTTCACATACTACACTAAAGCCAGTTAAACAGGGCTAAGTATGTTGTCTCTTTTAATGAAACTTAATTCTTTAAGTACTTAACATATCCACAGTATGCTGAGACAAGAGTATTGTGACATAATTTTTGACAGTAATGAAAAATATTATCTCTCCCTCGCCACCCCACCCCCATCCAGGACCCAACAAGATTTCTTAGTGCTGACCTAGGAGCAGCATTACAATGCTACATCTGTATTACCTATATAGCTCTATATTTGGTGCTTTCTGCAGGAGAGGAAATCTCAGGGTCAGATGGCAGCGGATCGGAAGAGATGGATGAAGGGGAGGATGAGGCTGGAAATGGTGGAGAGAGGCCCAGAAAACGACGAGGTTAGAGTCTAACCATCCTTTCCTCCTAAGAAGCACACAGTATCAGCTGGTTTCCTGGTACTGTTCAATTCTGAGTCAATAATGCAGTCTGTGGTCAACAGCTGTCTTCAGGTAAAATTTCACATGCACACCTACTCAGCCCAAACCAGTGAAGTGACACTGCAGGGGGATTTCTGACATAGTTTTATTGTCTTTCCCCTTATAAGATTGATTTGATGGGATGAGCATTCATTGTTGCACCAATGCAATGTCTAGTTTTCTTTCCATCACTGCATTAGCATCCTTTTTATACTAGCGAAAGTTGTTTTCAGTTGTTTGTTGCAGAGGAACTTTATTGAAGGTAGTACAACCAGCATTCTAGCTATCAAATTAATAGGTATATAATAGGGTTGTCAATTCAAAAATAAAAATAATAAATCTTAATTACTTTCACAGCTTTTTCACATAAAAAAAAACTGCATTTTTTAATAGCTATTAGAGTGGACAAAATGAGCTTCTTCAGAATGTCTATCACCTATAATTGATAATTCAACTGGAGCTTCGCATGAAAGCAGGGTGAGCATGTAAGTAAGGTTTACTCTGTTTCCAGTTTTCATCATCAGCGACCAGCGAGATCGGCAGTGGCTGCTGCTCATACTGCTGTAGCTTTCCACTTTGCTTTGTTGATTTATCCACAGTTCTCCCACAAACACTGTCCAGTGTAATCGGCTGAATCAGCATTCTTTAGTGCTAATGTCACTGATGTTAATGGTATAGTGTTGTTTTTTTTATTTGTAAATAATGCTTTGGACATAGTTTGGAGATCAGCAAATTTACAGCATTGCAGTAGATAGAAATAACTTAACAAGAGAGCCATAATTGAAAGCGGTCATTTAGATGCTGTATTTGAACGAGAGGTCTACAGTTCTAAAGTTAAAATGTCCAAGTCGACGCGAGTAAGTTAAGCGTGAGTCCGATTCAAGTCACAAGTCAGTTAAGCACGAGTCTGAGTTGGGCCATGAGTCAGTTAACTGTGAGTCTGAGTCGTGAGACAGTTAAGTGCAAATCTAAGTTGCGAGTTAGTGGAGCACAAGTATGAGTTAAGCTACGAGTCATTTAAGTCTGAGTTGAGTCACAGGTCAGTTAAGCGCAAGTACGAGTCAAGTCACAAGTCACCTTAGTGTGAGACTGATTTGTGAGTTAGGTAAACACAAGTCAGAGTTGAATCGTGATGCGAGTCAGTTAAATGCAAGTCCAAGTTGAGTTGTGAGTCAGTTAAGTGCGCATCCTGAGTCAAGTAGTGAGGCAGGGCAACGTGTCTCGAGTATGAGTCGTCGACTCTCGAGTTTCCGTCTCTAAGGATTTCATACTAAATTTTTTGAATATCTTAAAATACTAATTTGTGAATCATGCAACAACTTTAGGACGTGATGTTAAAGAGCTGCTTTAAGCTTGTAGTTGTACAAGGCCACCGTGCACCTAGAACTGGATCTGTGTCAGGCAAAGGTCTAAGGAATGTAATGATGCAACGTCTTGGCTTAGAAGCACATATTTCAAAAATAAAACCCCAAAATTATTTTAAAACCTGTGAATGCTGAAAAACGTTTTGTGTGAAAATGTTGACCTATTCTGTGAGGTCTGTGCAAAGGTATTCTGCATCAAACAAGTGAAGCTTAATAATTAAGAGCTAAGGTTAAAATGCTTATTGAGAAGACTTATTAATGCAGTTTGTGTCAGTTACGTAAGTAAGGAAGTAAGTAAATTGCCCACTCTGTAGATGTTGTGGCTTTGATTTGCTAATATTTCCCTTTGCTGACCGAGATCAAAAAGAGATAATGTCTCTGCATCAGGAACCCAAGTGTCTGATGCTCTACCACTGAAACTGCTGTGCGTCAGTGTAATTCAGAGACTAGGCCACATCCTTTAGCCATAAACGGTGTGCTTTCCCCAGGTCCTAGCTCTGTTCTGTGCTCTTTCGCTCTTTCTTTCTCTCTTTGTATTTCTCTCTGCCCTTGCTGTGCCTTGTGCCACGACTTTTGCAGCTTCTCTTTCTCTCTGTGTTGCAGACAGTGGCAGCAGCAGTAGTACAGGTTCTGCCTGCCCTGTAGCTCAGCGCTCTGAGGGGAAAACTCAGACTAGTGAGTGGGATCAGTGTTCCAGTAACCAGCAGTCCCACGTCCCCCTCTCACCAAGACTTAACAGCCCCAGTCTCACCCATCTCTGCCCCAGTCACTTCCAGCAATCCTAAAAACCTCCTCACCTCCCCTCCACAATGACCCTAAGCAGCCTTTTAAAGAAGCTGTCTGAGTGCACACATCAGAGTCACACCATGACCACATTGTGACCTCACAAAAAGGTGTTGTGCATACACGGTCCCTTCAGGGTGAAAAGAGAACCGCAAGCAGGAAGAAGCATTCAGTGATCCTTTCCTTCAAGGGTAACATGTCCTCCACTGTTCTCAGTCCAGCATTGTTTCCTAACCCATTTGACATTTAATGCCTATAATTTTAACTAGGGCTCGCCTAAATAGCATTTTACAGGCTTTGAATACTCGTATTTCCAAATGAGTATCTAAATACTCGGTTTCAAAACCACCCTTAAAAACGATATCATTTACGTTTCAAAATCAACTGTGATTTAAATATGTTTGTTACCGCAGTTCAGAGTATGTCCTGTAGACAGTAACTATGCATCAGTAATGTATACATTATTATAGTGCAAATGAACTGAAAGGACTGCATTCAAGTGGTACTCTGATAAGGATCACTGAACTTACAATTTTTAGATGATTCATGAGTCTTGTCATGCTTTTGTGGTATACCAACCTCTTATCTCAAATTTTACACTGAGCATTTTTTTTTTTACTGACTAAGTCTGAGGCATCTTAGCTTTTTTAGCTCTGATTGTCTTGTGGAAAACAGTGCAGTTAGTTAAAGGCATCATAAATTCATGCCAGACGTCCACGTCACCTCAGAGTGCAACAAATTGCATTCTTGAGGTGACGTTAAATTTGTTTGGCTGAGCTGTTCTAAAATACTCTGTAAACACACGATGACTGCCTCACAACTGAATTCTGTAATAATGTGCCAAGTCACTAAAACCTGTGCTGTGAATGGACTGTTAAGCTGCTCACATGGGCCATCGAGTGTATTGATAGAGTAAGAATCTTATTTTGTTTAAGTTAAGGTACAACTAGACTAAAAGAACAGGCTAAACAGGCTAAAAGATAGATAGCGTTAGCTGACAGGCTAAACCACTCCTCCATTTGTATTCAGTGTAAGGCTTTAAACTGAAGTATTTAGTGAATGATTCTTTATAGAGCTGCAACATAAATAGTAAAGAATAATAGCTGAACGTCGTACACGCTTAAAATGTTTTGACAGGTCTGTCTTAGGTCGTATTTAACCGAGTGCAGGAAAACAAATGTATGATACCGCTAGCTTGATGCTAGCACAACACAGGCAGTAACACAAGTGCTAGTGGAAATGACAAAGTTAATGAAATGACTGCAGTATACAAGTCTTCTCCTCATTCAGTTGTCTACAGTTGGTTGGCAACAATAATATTCTAAATAAAGTACATTTGATGATGGTAGAATTGTGTATTATTGCTATTATTAATTATAGCTTTAATTATTTAAATTATTTATTGCAAACTTGTTGCCATTTTATAAAATTATTAACCCACTTGAAGCCGTACGTTACAGTAATTTTACCACAGGAAAAGGGATTTTAGGAACACTCTATTAAGAACGTGATAAAATCACAGTTACACACGGCTCTGGTGTATTATTGCTTTATTAATATTTTCTGTATATGTAACAATCACTGTTCTATGTAAAGGTCTTTGCTGATGATTATAGCTTAGGCTACTGTTTTTGTATATACAAATAGTAAAAAAAATAAATAAATTACTGAAGTAATTAATGAATGCTCTAGAATTCAGATTGTTCAGGCCAGTCGTAATTTTAACCTTATAGAGTAGCCTGACCACTCCATACAAAAATAAAAAAAAAAGAAAATTCATCTTTTACACTTAAATTTACAACACTTAAAAGTTCAGTTCAAGGTTAGATGTCATGATTTTTAGTGTTATTAGATTTACCTGACGTAACCATATGCTTAAATAAGTTATCAGCTAGGCCTGTCACAGTCATAAAATTCTAGCTGACAATTATCATAAATAATTTCAAATATTTTTTTTTCATTGTATTCAGCTATGAAACTACAAGCCTACAGTGGGCAAATTGGCTGATTACTTACACTACACAGACAAATGTATTGGGACACACCTCTTACTTATTGAGTTCAGGTGTTTTAGCCACACCCATTGCTAACAGGTGTAAAAATTAAGCACATAGCTTTGCAGTCTCAATAGACAAACACTGGCAATAGAATGGGTCATGTTGAGCTCCATGGCTTGAAATGTGGCACTGTGATAAGATGACACCTCTGCCACAAGTCAGTTTGGGAAATTTCTGTCCTGCTCGATCTGCCTCTGTCAACTGTAAGTGCTATTATTGTGAAATGGAAGCATCTAGGAGCAACAGCTCAGCCACAAAGCGGTAGATCATGCAAACTCACAGAGTGGGGCCGGTGAGTGCTGAAGCGCACAGTACCTGTCCTCTGTTGAATCACTCAATAAAAAAAGGTCCAAGAAAAAACATGTTCCCCCTGGACTCTGGAGAAGTGGAAACGCGAATGATGCATCACACTTCTCTATCTGGCAGTCTGATGGACAAGTCTGGGTTTGGTGAATGCCAGGAAAACGTTACCTGCCTGACTGAATTGTGCCGACTGTAAAGTTTGGTGGAGGAGGGATAATACTGTGGGGTTGTTTTTCAGGGGCTGGCCTAGGACCCTTAGTTCCAGTAATGGGAAATCTTAATGCTTCAGCTGACCAAGACATTTTGGACAATTCTATGCTTCCAACTTTGTGGGAACTTTGTTGGGGACTGAGCCATAGTGCACAAAGCATGTCTATAAAGGCATGGCTGGGTGAAAGGGCATGGCTCTTGTTGAAGAACTTGACTGGCTCACACAGAGCTCTGAACTCAACCCCATCAAACACCTTCAGGATGAACTAGAACAGAGATTGCGAGCCAGGCCCTCTCGTCCAACATCAATGTCTGATCTCACAAATGCTCTTCTGCATAAATGGGCAAAAATTCCCAAAGACACTCTCCTAAGTTTTGTAGAAAGCTTTCCAGAGGAGTGGAAGCTGTTATAGCTACAAAGAGGGAACAACTCCATATTAATGCCTATAGATTTAGAATGGGATGTCATAAAAGCCCATGGGTGTAATGTGTAGGTGTCCCACTACTTTTGTCCACATAGTGTACTCGAAGATCAGGCGTTGTCCAGTCTTATCTGCAGAGGACCGGTGTGGCTGCAGGTTATCGCTCCAACAAAGCAGGAGATTATCCGATGAAATGTTTGAAAACTAAGACCAACTGAGTAAACAAGTGGAGTCAGGTGTGCTCCAGCTTGTTTGGGGTGGCCACAGTGGCCCTTTGCTGATAAGATTGAACACCCCTGTTGTAGATGCTCAGTAGCTCACAACTGACCAAAGATGCAGCTTGAGCTAAAATAAAAAAAACAAAAAAAACAACCAGTACTCACCACTGCCCTCTAGTGGTGGTATAGTACCAGTCAGAAGTTTTATTTTCATAAGACCCATGAATCACACATCAATAACTCATCGATCAGTGCATTTTCTGCATTTTTATGAACATGTATTTGACTCAATCTAACAGATGAAAACACATTCATTTCCGTTTAGTTGAATTCACGTTTTGTTTGTTGCGATGTAAACATCTGACTTACATATAACTCACAACTGTGGAAAATATGTGCGATCTGGGGCCGGATTCACGAAAGTGGCTTAAGAAGGTAAATTTTCTTAAACGTGTTTTTTTTCTTAACTTCATTCTTAAGAAAAAAGTTACATGAAATTGTTATTCTTCGAGGAGCTTCTTAAGAATAATCTTATTTTCTTAACTGTTTTCTTTGGGAATAATTCTAAGAACCAGTGGTATTCTTGAAAATATTGTGTGCTTAAGTGTTTTCTTAACCTTTCGATGGCCTTACTTGTCTTAGGCTGTAAGAGTTGACAAGGTCAGCATCTAAATTTATCACGGACACTGCCTCTGCTACTCCTGCCCATCCTTTATCCATTTTTCAATGATGATTTTTTCCCTGTGGCTGTTTCTTCCATCACCTCTAGTTCTTGTTTGCTGAAATTTTTTGCTAAAATTTTTTAAACACTTGGTTTGATGTTTTTCCTCCATTTTGTTCCTCTGAGTGGACCAAACTAAATAACTGAAATAACAATTACTACAAATTCAAAAGGTATCTTGCTTTGTTTATGGTACGTGGTAAAATGCAGTATAAGAAAATAATTAAGATTATCTTAAGAAACATATTTGAGAACTTAAGTTTTATTTTGAGAATCGCATTTAAGAACATTCTTGCAAACTTCTTAGTGTTTGTCTTAAGAACCTTTGCAAGTTTTTTCTCAAGCAAGCTTCCGTGAATATGGCCTCAGGTCGTGTAGTAACTGTGACGGGCAAACCCCAGCTTCTACATAAGTGACGTAACAAAGCCTGTTTACATTTCCCCAGCGCGGTGGGTATTGTTCACTGATTCACCTTGACGTATGCTTGCTCTACAGTTTTTGATTGCATGCCAAAATTCCACTAAGCTGAGTAATGGAAAAAAAAAATCTTTCAGTTTTCCACTTTATCAGCAAATATATAGAACATGTACCCCTGTAACATCTTGCATGGACAGTGGGCAGTTTAAGGACTGGATGAATTTGATCCTGAGACCTCAATGAAAAATTCTAAACGGACGACGCTCTAAATTTAGGTCGCATGCTGGCGTCCAGACAGGATGTGTCCAAATATGGTTTCACGTCTCTGAGGCAGTAACAGCCCTCTGATTAATTGTGTTCTAATCATGTTTTCCATGTTGCCTTTCATATTTACTCTTTCTGTCTGACTCTCCTTTCTTCTGTCTGCACTTGCCTTTCCTGCCGACTTAGTCAGTCTGTGTTTGTGTTGGTGGGGGTCAGATATATGTCTCTGAATCAGCATCCCCCCCACACAGCTTTTAAAGACCACTTTGTAACAATATGATGTGTCCTTCTGTTTTTTTTTTTCCTCCACCGATGCAATGTGACGACCGTCTGAATTGCTTATCTCCTTATATTCAAGATCAAAGAGGTTGGTGTAATAGTCTTTTCAGCAGCCCAGCCTCCTTTCCCCTTTTAGCTGAATGCTCTGTAAATGTGATCTCTCCTAAGTCAAACTTCTGCTAAGTCATGCACCAAAGTAAGTAGATGTACATATTGCCCATTTTTGCAATGTTCAAAGTCAGTACTACAAATGGTTCTTCAAAGGCTTTCTGAGGAACAGAGTCTGTAGAAATAAATAGAAATGATGTTTATTGTTTTTTTGGTAAATGCATTCTAACATGCAACGTATTTTATGGGAACTTCTGTTTTCCAATCAGAGAAAAATGACAAAACAGTGTTTCCATTATGAAGAAGCAGGATTTTCTTCTTGTAGGCCAAGTCAATATCCTTAAGGTCACATTAACAGTGCAAGATAGACTTTTAGTTATAGACTGAAGGGTTTTTAGAACAATACTGATGTCAGATTTTGCCTTTGACACTGATTATGACTGGTACCATGCTGAATTGATCATCAACAGGGAAGAAGAAAGTATCACCAGACAAGATGGTGGAGATGCAGGCGAAGATCGAAGAGGAACGCAAGGCCCTGGAGGCTAAGCTGGACATGGAGGAGGAGGAGCGAAATAAAGCACGGGCTGAGCTGGAGAAAAGAGAAAAAGATCTACTCAAAGCGCAGTGAGTCAGGGAAACTTTCATTACTACATCCCCCCCTCTCCTTCAGTGACCTTAGTCTACAGTGCTTGTGGTTTAACATTCTGGCAAATGACACAGTCATTACGAAGTAGTGTTTTTAGAGGAACTGTCCCACATCACAGTCATTTTAGTCTTAACACGCATGTAGTGTATTTATAATTAATATGTAATTTATAGATGGGAAAATAGTAACTAGTAACTGAAAAACAGGTTTATATAATGAAACCAAACCGTTAGACATTATTGCAGTCACTTACAGTACTGTGCAAAAGTCAGAGACCACACTTCATTTATTTAATTTCAGTCAATATGGCCTTAAGTACAAATTATTATTAAACTGTATGAGAATCCAGCCATCCAGGACTGAAGCTGCCGTAAACCCTTTTTTTGCTGTGGCCAGTCCATTGTTCTGAGAATACCAGTAACTTTTTTGCTCATAAATTCATATTTGTCTTCTCAGCAGTGTGCTTACGGTTATTATTCTGCGGTACAATGAATTTCTTAGTTATTAAAATTTGCTTCTACTTATCAGCATTCATGATGCCTTCAGTCAAACACAAATCTACTTTAGACGTTGTTTATATTGTTTGACTGATGGTTGTAGGCATAGTTTGAAGAGTCATTCATTGCTTCAGCAGCGTACATACTGCCTTCTCTTGCTTTCAGAAATCTTATGTTTAGACTCAGCAGCCCATAAAACCTTACACCGCATGTGAGATGTCCAGTTATAGTGTTATTGTGCTTTTCTTCTTTTTTGTCCTTTTTTCAGCCTTGTCTTTCTTTACAGCCACACATGCTTTCGGACCTATAGCGTTGAGTTGTGGATTTTTTTTTTTGCAGATATGAAGCAAGAGTGGAGCTTGATTTTTCTCCAGTCTCTCAAAGATGAAATCTTTCAGTACCGTTTATCTGATGGTGACAGTTTTGTAGGACTGTCAGGCAAAGTTGTAAGAGGTTGTTTTTTTTCTGTTAGGAGTAAAAAAAATGTTTTAACTCCAGTTTTGGAAACTCTTTTGTCGCTGCTTTTGTTATGTCTTTATTTTTTATTTTCATTTATTTTTTTATTGTTGTGTGACATTCCCCTTCCTTAAGCAGTTTAATTATCTTGTATTTGATCTCCTCAGAAATATCTACTTTAGCCATTTTAGATGCTCATTAGAGAGAAATTTGCGAAGCAGTTAAGGCATGTTTGGGTAGTTGCTTGTGTGATTGTTGGTGCCTGTTTGAACAAGAACATAATGACATTGAGAGTTTAGGGAGCAGCTTTTGTTGGGAGAACAAATCAGTGGCTTTAAGATTGAAAAGATGGAAGAGTTTACTATTATTATCTTTGTGTTGGAGACTTTTATGTAAATTTCTCTGTAAATATAAGTTTCCTGCTTTTTGTCTCTGACACGTCTGTAAATGAAGGTGAATTATAAATCCATGCTTTGGCTTTGCTTTGTTGGCATTACTTTAACAGTCTCTGTTGTTTCTCAGACAAGAACACCACTTACTGCTTGAGAAGCTGTCTGCTCTAGAGAAGAAGGTTATCGTTGGTGGAGTTGACTTGCTGGCCAAGGCAGAAGAGCAGGAGAAGCTTCTAGAAGAGTCCAACAATGAGCTGGAGGAGCGACGGAAGAGGGCCGAGCAGCTCCGTAAAGAACTGGAAGAGAAGGAGGTAGCCATTCTTTCTTTGCTCCATTTTATTTTCAAACACTACAGGAGCCTTAAGTACTAGGTGATGAAATTATGGCAGGTCAGCAATATCAGTTTATGTTTCAGAGTTGTTTAGGTCAGTGGTTCTCAACCTCAGCCCCCCCAAGTGGTCCACGTTTTCGCTCCATCCCAACTCACAACACATGATATAAGCAAAACTGTCTGGGGGACCCTAAAGACTGATGTGAGAACCACTGGTTTAGGCCGTGTAAAGCTTAACTCCAAGTCTGCTGTTTTTGCATTTCCTCTGTTTCCAAAAATAGCAAGAGCGTTTGGATATTGAGGAGAAGTACACCAGTTTGCAGGAAGAGGCTCAAGGCAAAACCAAGAAATTAAAGAAGGTCTGGACCATGCTGATGGCAGCAAAGTCAGAGGTACGCTGGAATGACACCATGGCTTGCTTCTCTGTCAGCGCTTATGGTCTTGCATAGGTTTCAGCAGTGACGTGTGGCATGGGTGTGTCGTTGTTGATGATGATAATATACAGGAATTACTGATTAATTGTTAGAAGTTCTTTAATTAATATCAGTCAGTATTTACACTGCTGTTTAAAGGTGTAGAATCAGTATTTTCAATAAAATAAAAGCAATTTGATGGAAGTACATGTAAAAAAGGATTCTGTTATGATGCTACTAGTCTGTACTGATTCAAACCAGTTTTGTGAGATGCTATAAAAATTGAGAAATTGTAGATGTGTGATGAACAGAGCTGTAGATGTTTCTGTAGATAATAACTTGAAAGCTGTAGATGATAATGAATTTATAATAAAGTAAACATCCCGAATCGCCTGCATTTAAAAAGCGCTGATCAAATATTGTGGCAGATGACTTATCAAGATATTATTATAGATAGATGGTTACACTGTATTACTTATCATTTTTTGCAACTTCTTGGTCACATCCAGTAACTTGCTGAATAAGGCATCTTAAAATTAATTTTAGTGTCTAGCTTATAGTATTTATATTACTATTTAAGAGGGTTATTAAAATAAAATTTGCCTGGAAAAACAGACTAACATAACTGAAGGGCAACAGTGGCTACTTTTAAATGAGAAAATAAGAAATAAACATTGTCCATAGAAGTAAATATTTCTGTATTTCTATAGGGTTAAATAAATTATATAAATCAAAACAAATAAAAAAAAACAATGATGAAGACTGTTCTTAATGAGCATTTCATGCTTTTGCACTGTCAGGGAATGGACATGCACTCTGGTGGACTTTTCATGTTGAGCTTTGGGTTTATTTTATTTGTCCTCAGAGCTGGATTTTGTTAGTACGTTTTTAGTGTGATCATTTTGTATTGATTGTTAACACTTCCACTTTCGACCAGTGCCACGGACTCTGAACAGATGTAGATGAAGACACTTTTTTGAACTTGATACGGAAAGAAAAATGCTTTGCATTCGTTTTTAAACACTGTTTTTGTCCTCACTCTCTTTTTTTTTTCTTAGTTTTTAGCAAACCATGTTGTCACTTCACTGCTCAGACCAGAAACAGTAAATAAAATCAAAATCTTCAAGTGCTCTGTTCAGTCCACTGAAATACTTTGTTGGGTCCATATCTGGACCATTGTCTGCCAGTTTACGACCCCTGCTGGGTAAGATATTACCCGAATAAAATAGCAGCACTTGATAGTTGTCATAATTGTAATTGAATGGCAAATGAACAGCAGTGTACATCATAACACTTGTCTCCACTGCTCTTTTGATATTAAACAATGTTTTTTTCTTACAAAGGAATTCATACTTTGTTCAGAAATTTGCTCTTTGCAGTTGTTTTACATTACATGATATCTGATCTTCAGCGTTTGACTGGGATCTATTTATTCTTTTGATACATTCATGCTGAGTTTGTCAAAAGAGGAATGCAGATAACACTGTATTGCCTTATCATTTATCTGACCTTTAAATGGTGAGAGAATTGTTTCTTGTGTTGACAGCATACTGTTGGATCATGCTGAGTAGTACTGTTGTAATGACAGTGTTTCTCACAGGAATTTGTGAGACCATGGTGGGTGGACCTTGCTCGGACTCTATACATGCTGTATATTTGAAAATGGCATCAAACTGGTTTGAGATTGAGAACAAAATTAAGAGGTTAGATCTATGAAGAACTTTGTGCTCTAAACAGTTTTGTGCTTTAATATTTATAAACACACTGCTTGTATGGATGTATGAACAGTGATGACGCAGCAAAAAAGTCAGACCCACAAAGCATGGTAAACAGTTTAACAGTTCACAAATGGTCAAAACAACAACAACAAAAAAACACTAAAGCATGCATAGCATAGCATAGCATACATAACATACGTAACCTTGAAAAAGTAGCGGTAACTTTGACTTAGTAGTTAACATTACAAATAACCTAACATTACATGAAGTGCCAACTTGCCCTTTTAGAGGCTGAAAATAGTTACATTGTCAGAGCATGTGCTGCCCTGTATGTATGCTGCCACACTGACCGCAACAAAGACCTTAACAAAGAATCACATCTCAGAACTCACTGAAGTATCACCGTAGTGGTTAGAGCATGCAGTCGTGATTTATAGGATGAAAATACGCTACTGGATCCTTTAGCAGCACTGACTTTTCTGAGTCAGAAACAGCAAATTGAACAGTATATTGTTTTAAAACGAGGCGATGAGAGTCGGAAACGCTGATGTTACTGTTCCTAACTAAGCTAACGTAAGATTATTGTTGATTATCAGTGATAACTTCTGCACTGACATTGGCTGTCTTACGTTGATATTGGTAAGATTGTGTATGGACGGGTGGATAACTGCAGTGGACACTGTACAGTTAAACCTTCGTGTCTCGGATGTAGCCAGGTAACAAGACGGTTCAGTGCATGTGAGTGTGAGCATGCCCACGTACAGCGAAGGAGGGAAGGGGGGCAACGGGGCAAAACATAGTGGGCCTCATTCACCAATATCTTGTCAAGTTTCTTCTTAAATTTCTTTCTGAGAAAGGTCCTAAGAAGAAGTCTACATCACATTCATGATGTGTTTCTTCTTAAGAACAGTTGGTGAATGAGGCCCATTGTTATTTGTTATTATGAGAAATGCAAAGATATTTGTGCTTCATTATGAAACTGTTGCAAGACAAATTGGACTGTGGCAGGCTGCCATGGTCTATGTAATTAATGGGAATCAATGATTTATAATATACTGTTGTGTATTTGACATAAAATAAAGCAAGCAAACTAAAGCACATTTTGAGCTGTACTCTTGGGGCCCTGTGGCAGCTTTAGTGAGGATGCCTGCTGTGCAGAGGTGAAGGATCATCTCTTCTGTTGCAGATGGCAGACCTGCAACAGGAGCATCACAGAGAGATTGAGGGCCTATTGGAGAACATCCGCCAGCTCAGCAGAGAGCTCCGTCTGCAGATGCTCATCATCGATAACTTTATCCCTCAGGAATACCAGGTGTGTATGCATTTGAGCCCTTTGTGTTAGAGGTCTGATGTTTTAGAGTATTTTTATAATATAAGAATTACACACTTACATAGCAAATTTCGGTCTGTTAGTGGCTCTGTCTGTGCAATTTAATTGATTGATTATATTAATCGATTGTCTATAAAATACATTTAATACTGACTTAAAAGTGTAATCAGTTTAACCTTTGTCCTCTAGGAAATGATTGAGAATTATGTACACTGGAATGAAGACATCGGCGAGTGGCAGCTGGTGAGTCTAAACATTGTTTTACTGTATATGGCTGAATCCAGCCTTGCTATATAATATATTACCACAATAGAAATTTAGGCTTTATTGTGTTTTTCTTGGGACTTTGAAATGACTAAAAGATTGAATCGCTACTAATCACGTTAGTTTGTTGTAGTTAATCATGATTAATCACATTAGTTTTATTTGACCCTAAAGAAGTTTTTTTTATTTCTATTAAAACTATATTTTGTTATGGCTCATGAGTGGACAAAATAAGCTTCATCAGAAAGTTTTGCAATCTTTAGTAATTTACTTCAGGTTTGAACATAAAATCGCATGAATGCAGGGTGAACATGAAGATAAGGTCAACGCAGTTTAGTTTTCATTACCAGCTTCTAGTGAGAGCAACTGTGGCTGCATGATCCAACTCTTCTGTGGTTACAGCCCTTTCTCTCTCTGTCTCATACCATTATATTATGTCTTGTTTCAAGGGAACTGTAGCTTTCTAGTTTGCTATGTGTGTATATATATATATATATATAAGGTTAGCGCTCTAAAACACTTAGGAATTCAGTCTCGACAACCTCATACTTTTGACTATCACAGAGAAACTGGTGAGTTTCACTGACATGCAGCGGTACTAACCACAAATCACTGCAGTCACATGCGGGCAGGTTCTTTTTCCTGAGCATTTACTTGTTAAACAAAAGTGTTTTCCATCGGACTCATATAAAACTGTGCAAGGAGCGCATTCATAACAGTGGTAAAAATATTGGTTACATGAATGGCTTTACAATTTTTTTTGTGTGAAAATATTTTTATTAAGTATTTTCAGTACAACAACAGATGATACAACAAACAACTGTATTGTCAAAGTATTAAAACCTGAAACAAACGGACATACACAAAGACACACAGGTAATTAAAATAAATTCAGTTGTTAAGTCCTGTCCCAGACTTCTTTTTTTTGTGTTTATTTTTAACAGTCAACCACAGTATTAGCTTTTGCTCAATTGAATCTGGCCGTGGCCTGTTTCAGTACCATGGCATCTATAACACAGAGCATGGTGCCACAGTGGGTACTGCTGTCACCTCACAGCAAGAAGGGACTGGGTTCGGTTTCCCGGCTGGGCGACCGTGTGTCTTCCCTGTGTCTGAGTGGGTTTCCTCTGGGTGCTCCGGTTTCCTCCCACAGTCCAAAGACATGCTATTAGGCCAATTGGAGATGCTAAATTGCCCCTAGGTGTGAACATATATGTCTATCTGTCTGTCTGCCTTGCAATGGACTGGCCACCTGTCCAGGGTGTGTTCTGCCTTCCACCCAGTGACTGCTGGGATAGTCTCCAGCATCCCACTGCAACCCAGAAGGATAAGTGGTTTAGACAATGTGTGTGTGTTTGTGTGTTTGTGTGTGTGTGTGTGTGTGTGTGTTTTATCAAATGTCTGTCTAAATCTGAGAAATATGTGCTTGTTTTCCTCAGAAATGCGTGGCCTACACCGGCAACAACATGAGAAAACAAACTCCACTGCCAGACAAGAAAGAAAAGGATGTAAGCATCACTTGGCATTATGTTATAATCCTCCAATGAACTCCTTTAAATGTGTCACACAAGATCAGTTTTACTCAGTGTTTCTTCTGTCCTGTGTTTGGTTCAGCCGTTTGAGGTGGACCTCTCTCACGTGTACCTTGCCTACACGGAGGAGAGCATGCGCCAATCTCTGATGAAGCTGGAGAGGCCCAGGACCTCGAAGGGTAGCAAGTCCAGGCCTAAGACTGGTCGCAGGTCAGTTATCACTGTTTAGCTGCTGTGTTTATTCCATAACAAAGGGCACGGTTTAGTGATAATGACACGTCTTCTTTTGGAAACCAACACTAGTTGACCGTAATACTATGAATAATCTTAGACTTGTCAGGTTTACTGCCAGCAGAGAATTCTGAGAGAGAATCCTTCCTTTTCTCCAAACAAAGCACAGCAGCAGTTCACAGTCATTACTGGGCCTATCACAGATATAGCAGTTCGTTTTTATGGGCCTTTTAGAACTAAGATAGTGGTACCGAAACATGAAAAGGGAGCCGTGAGCAGTGAAGGTTTAGTTTTTACATATTTGGCCTTCTTTCTTCAGTAGCTTGTAAACAGTGGACAAGAAACGTTAACATGTAAATTGGCGTTGTTAGAAACCAAAGCAGTCAGCTGTGTTCATTTTTTTTTTTTATTTGAAATTGAAGTAGAACATGTTGATTTGTGAGTGGCAATCATCAGGGTCCAAGCACAGTGCACCTTAGGGGATTTTTAGAATGGGCTCCATTTATAATAAATGTGGGGTCTTAGTTATCTCCGTATGGTAAGAGATCATTTTGAAATGTTCATGTTAAAAATCACTAAAATAGTCTCCTGGGAATGAAGCCACCAGACCTGCTGCAGGGGTTTCAGTGTGTAAACTTGTCACATTTTCACTGTATTTACTTCGGAGTTGGATTTGTTTTATAGATATTTGAAATTTAACATGTACTCAAGTAATTTACTAATTTGATATTTGCTCAATTTTTATAGGAAGCGTTCATCCAGGCCAGATACGGTGATTGATTCCCTTCTGCAGTGAGCTTCTTCTCTGTCTCTGACTACGATTTAGGCCGGTCCTTTGTGAGTTTTGAATGAATTAATATTAATTGTGTAAAGATGTAAGCATACTTAAATGACCAAGCAAATTAAAACTAAAGAAGAACACAAAATAACTGTACATATGCAGGAATAATGCTGTTATCTGCTTTGCTCTTGCTTAAAAAAAACACTAATTAATTTCAGGATGTCATTTCACAAGAGAGCAATTTCATTTTTCTTCTCACAGAGCGAACAAAAACACAACAAAAACTGTTACTGGGTCTTTGGTTTTTACGTGGTTGTTGGTGCAGTGTAGGACGCCCAAAAGTCTCAGGGGCAGGATATTACTAGTTTGATGCTCTAATTGATTAGCTTGTCATCTCCTGCAAGCTGCTTTAGATATGAATCATGCTTGATGCTTATTCCATTAGCAGTTTACAATTACATTTTAGTCTTTTACTCTGTACTTAATGTGTGCTACTAACCTGATTTTGTGGGGTTGGGGTTTTGGCTGGAGACCCTGCATGCTCTTTTACCCGCCCAATGTAGTGCCATTTAACACTAGCTAACTGTTTTTGCTACCACATGCACACTGTATTCAAAACAATGTGACTTTTATTTTACACCAGAATGTTTACATTTACTGTGCTGTACACTGTATACTCCTTAATTTATTAAATTATTTACAAGTGACCTCGTTGTGATGACGTGAATGTGTTTACATAAAAATACAAACTTTTTTTGAGTAATAACAATCCATTATGTTCCTTGTTGTCTTCAAAAATACTTTATTAATAAATATTTTCATGATTTATGAACAAATTTCAAATTCATCAGCAAAACATTTCCATACAGTACTGTGCAGAAGTCAGGGAAAAAAAGCAGAACACTTATATTAACAGGAGCCTCAAGAACTAATTGACAACTTTCAGCATTTAGTGTGTCCATTCTTTATTACAGCTTACATTCTTTGCTATCAGTAGTTCACATTCTGTGTTACAATCCAAATGATCCCAAACTCATTCAGTGATGTTGAGGTCTGGACTCTTGGGTGGACAGTCCATTGTTCTGAGAACTCCAGCAGCTTCTTCTGATGGACTTGCGGTAGTAGTAGGCGGTACAGCTAAAAGTTATTTTACGGTATATATCACACTATAGTCTTTTTATGTATAAATTGTTCAAATAAAACCATTTTGTGTGCTTACGTAAACCTATTTTACGTTATAATGGTGTATCATTCTGGAATTTAATTTGTCTTTAATTTTAATAATAAAAAAAAACTATAATGACTAGTCTAAAATCTAAAATATTTTTAGGCAAATTAGTGAAAACAGAAAATAAACACTATATAGACAATAGGGCTGGAACGACAGGCAAAATTCGTATTATCCTGTTTTGCATCACGATATGATACATTTTACAGAATTTTTTGTTTATTTATTAAAAGTTGGTTGCCTTTTCTGCTTCTCATGTTTCAAGTAATCCCAAACACATTCAGAGGTCTGGACTCCGGGGTGGTCAGTCCATTGTTCCGAGAACACCAGCAGCTTCTTTGTTTGATTTACAAATGTTCTTTTTTTCCTGTTTCCTTTTCTCATTGAGGGTATCTTATCAGCTACACATGCTTTCAGACAGAGTTCTCTTCTCACAGTGGAAGGATGGACAGAGACCAATTTTTTTTTCTCAGATCTGAAGTGAAAGCGGAGCTTGATTTTCTCCTCTCTCTCAAAGATAAATGCTTAAAGTACTGTTTATCTGATGTTGTCTGTTTTAGGGGTTCTACCAAGTCTCATGCGGTTGTAAGGCGTCTCGTTTTCTCCGTATCTTTTCATCATTTTTTTACACTTCAGTTTTGGAAACTCCTGTTTCATTTGAATTTGCCCTTCCTTGCAATGCGAGTGGATTATCTTATCGCTAATCTCCTCAGCAGCAACTCATGAAAAAGGCATAACTTTTGCACAGTACTGGAAATAAACACTTGTATATAAATTATTAAGATAAATATTAAATATTAATATTAATTTTAAATATTAATATTAAACACAATATTTTAATATAAAAATACTGTTTAGGAATCCTAATGCTTTGAAGAAGAGCTGAATCAAGAGAAATTAAGAAGCTAGTGAAGAGAATTGCCTCTTGGCGCAGCTGTGTATGGCCTTCAGCAGCTGGGAAAGTGGAACTAAAGTGGCGTTGTCTCCAGGTTTTGGGCAAATGTGCTGCAACTGAAACAGAAAGTCTGTTAACATCAACAATTGACACTCTTTAGGTTCTTCAGTTACAGTATGCACTTACAGTTCAGTCAAGTGCACTATACAGTGCCTAGATGCAGTTTAAGACCGATTCGATAGTGATAGTTAGTCCGTGACTGGCTCTACAACTGCTTAAGCAACAACACTGAATTTGAAACGAGTGAATATTGTGATACTTATTTCAAAACCTCATCATTTCATTTTTTTCCCCCTGATACGTTTTGATCACTACTGGAAACGGCAGCTGCCCTTTACATTGTGTGATCATGTCATGAGGAACGGACAAATAGAACTAGTCCAAAATGACTTGGAAACAACTCGTACTGCATGAACATTTTTCCTTTTTCTATAAACGTTAGGCTTTCTTACTACAGCAACAATATGCTTATCGAACTGAGCTCTTTAAGGCATCTGGGTTTGTTTAATCATATCATGCATGCAGCATTCATTTCAAGGATGTATTATCTCTCCAAACAGCTAAAATCAGTGTTAACTGTCTTCACAATATCAATCACTTACTTGTGTGAAGGCAAACAGCAGCCTAGGCAGTTTCCATTCAGCTTCCTGCAGTCCCAAGTTCTCTGCTGTGAATTTTTCCAGAGCTTTTGCTGCTGTGCAGAGGTTCATGCGCTAAAATAGCCGTAGAAAGAATACACAGAGCAATAAGAGATGATTAATAATGGAAATGCTTGTTTCTTAAGGTTACGTAAATAATGTTTGTCCTGTTACATATAGCCCGTTTAAATTTTGATGCATCTTACCGTGCACTGCCATGGAGTCTCTGCCTCTATTACCCACAGATTATTAGCCTGACAAAATAAAATGTAAAATGAAGGTTTATTTTCTGCATTGTTGGCTATTAGACCATGAAATTTAGTTAAGTATTGAGGTAATATAAACTAGATTTGTCATTACCCTTCCAATCTGAATTTGATTTATGTTTTTGTACATAATTTAACCTCACCTTTTCTGTACGGATGCCATCCACGTGACCCATGATTTCTTTTAGGATAGTTTGTTGTGTAGATTTTCCTTTGGCTGAATAAACCATTGAGATGGTGAGAAGAAAGAGCAAAGAGGTCTTCATAGTTTAGGTTCCAGGCAGTCACTAGGTCTTGGCGTCGGGGTAGTTAGTACATGGGTTGTGCCTCGGCCTTAGAGTCATGATGAAGCATGTCGCAGCTAAATTTATACTCTGGGAAGAAGCCTGCAACGTATCTTGATTGATACTCAACGCTGATAACGTACGTCAGAGAGAGAGAGCTTATGTGAAATTCACACTGCTGGCTGTGGGCTTCTGGTGGGCAGAAAGGTGTTATAAAAACGGAAAATGTGTTAGAGGTTGTGGGGTTTACCTCACCTTACTCACAGGACCGGCAATGTTTATTAGTTACACTACTTAGCAGCACAAGTGCAAGTCATCTCCACAGTTCTGAGGAACGCACCACTGACTTCCCCAAGTTAGCTTTCGAAGTGTTTCATTGCAGAACACATTAGACTTTCCTTTTTTCTTTTTTTTTTTTTTTTTTTACACATATATTACAACATGCAAGAAATATCAGTGCTATTTTAGGATTAATATTACCTTTATAAGGGAAATATCAGCTGATATAATTTACAAAAACTCTTTATGTCCAAAATGGTTACAAATTAATATACAGCATTTTGAAATGAAACTCTTTCATTTGAAATCGTCAGTGATGTTATGAAAACTACTATTTGCACGAGTTATGAAAATTATTACATACATATGACCCCCCCGCTGTACAGCCGAACACAAAAGTTTTAGCACCCCTGGTGAAGTAATGTTTTGTTGACTCTTAAAGTGAAAATATCGTCGCTGTCCAAAGAAAAACATGTATCTCCAATTTTTGTGATTTTTTTAAAAAAAATGTTCTACATCATTTGAGCACGGCAGCCATTCTGTACATTGTGTGAGAATTTAATGATGAATGGACCAATAAAAATGCACCAAAATTGCTTTGAAAAAAAATGTCTTTCCATTGACTTACATTAAAAGTAAAGCACATTTTTGCCCTCTCCTGCAAAGTTACTATTTTGGAGATATATCTTTGGACAGTGACAATATGTTAGCACATCCTCTACAGAGAATCTTAAATATGGCAATTATGGCAGATTTGAGTGCACGATTTCTATCCATTTGCTCTAACATAGTGGAAAAAATACATTAAAAAATACATTTTGTTCCTCAAAATGTTATTATATATTAAAATGTGCAGAAGTGTGTTCTCTGTATAGGATGTATGAACCTATTTTCACTTAGAAAATCAACAAATCGACATTTGACCAGGGGCACCAGAACTTTTGAATATGACTGTAGCATAGGCTTGTATACAGTGGCACCAAAAAGTGTCTGGACACACATTTTTAAGCCACCTATCCTTCTGGGTCATGGGGGGTGCTGGGGAATATCCCAGCAGTCATCGAGCAGAAGGCTGGAAACACCCTGGGCAGGTTGCCAGTCCATTTAATCACTGCTAAATTTGACTGAAATGCAAGAAAGGTGTAAGATATGGCCCCTTAATGCCGAGGTGCAGCATAGCATCCATCTATGAGCCAAAGCATTACGATCTGAGAATCTGAAGGCCTTGAACTCTTCGTCATGCTCCTCAAACCATTCCTGAACAGTGTGTGCAGCGTGGCAGGGCATATTATCCTGCTGAAAAAGGGCACTGCTATCAGGAAACATGGAGGGGTGTACCTAGGCTATAAGGATGTTTAGGTAGGTGGCACGTGTCCAATTGAAGAATGCCTGGACTGAGGGTTTCCCACTGGCTTGTCTTCTTCCCACAGTCATGGTACCATCGCTTCCCCAAGTGAACGCTGCACATGCACCTGGCCACCCACGTTATCTAACACTGTAAAAAAAAAAATTGTGCTTTACTTCAAATTGCACACACTACATAAGAATAATGGGATCAATGTTTCCTATGCAGCAGGGATAGTAAATCATGAAATTACGTAAAAGATTTTTCTTCAGAAACAGGGTTTGACAGGGCTGTGATGTTCAGTGATCTTAAGGCCCTAGCATGGCCTTCCTCTTCTGCGGTATTGCTCTGAGAAAAAACAGAAGGTGACCTATTTTAAAGTAAGAACGAGTGGCGTAAAATGCATCATGGATACAAAGTTGTGTCACAGAATGACAGCGTGTCTTCAGGTATGTTTTAGTGTTTATATCAACTCGGTCACTACGCAAGATTACAGTTCTGACTCATGGTGTCTCTTTTCATTTTTGGAAAGAATGAATTTCTCATAACCACCCTCCAGCCACAAACTCATGATATTAATATTCACTTTAGCCATGAACTTTCGGGGAATGCCTGAGAACTGGACCAGGTTTTAAAAGCTCATCTAAAGTTTATAGCCAGCTAATGAAAATGAAAATGAAAACTTTGACACCCATTTTTGTTGTAGGTTTAG